CTTAATTACATAGTAGAGGGGCTAAGAAACCATTAGTGAATTGCTAAACTGCCTAACAGGACATCAGCAAGAGTCCCCACGGTGCACTGTTTCCTTTGCCGGTTCTGCTATGTTACATAACAACAGCCCTCTACTGGAAACAGACATTGTGCATCTAATTCCTGCACACCCACAAACACTTACTAAAATACCATTCCCATACAGGATTCCAGCCAACAATTTTTTAAAAAGACATTGATGTGATATCTGCTTTACCACTTTTAGGATATTTGAGTTGCTGTCATTAGCACTGCTTTACAAATTGCCACTGTGAAGCTTTTATGTGACACACACATTTAAAGTAATTCTCACACTCTGGGTCCTTCTACACAGCCCTATATCCCAGAATATCAAGACAGAAAATCCCACATTATCTGAGTGTAACCCAGTTCAAAGCAGATATTGTGGGATTTTCTGGGATATAGGCCTGTGTAGAAGGGCCCTCTGCATTTTCTTATTTCTAATTTCATGCCGACGTTAGATCCACATCCTGTTATTTCACGGGATCTTAATACATTGTGAAAAGAGGCCTTACACCAGTGGTGCTCAACCTTTCTAATGCCGTGACCCCTTAATACAGTCCCTCATGTTGTGGTGACCCCCAACCATAACATTGTTTTTGTTGCTACTTCACAACAGTCATTTTACTACTGTTATAAATCATAATGTAAATATCGGATATGCAAGATGTATTTTCATTCACTGGACCAAACTGGACACAAATACCCAATGCACCCACATGTAAATGCTAGTGGGGTTGGGGGAGGATTGATTTTGTAATTTGGGAGTTGTAGTTGCTGGGATTTATAGTTCACCTACAATCAAAGCACATTCTGAACTCCACCAGCGATGGATTTGAACCTAATTTGCCTCACAGAACTCCCATGAACAACGGAAAACACTGGAAGGGTTTGGTGGGTATTGACCTTGAGTTTGGGAGTTGTAGCTCACCTATATCCAGAGGACTGTGGACTCACGCAATGGTGGATCTGGACCAAACTTGGCACAAATACTCAATATGCGCAAACACTGGTGGAGCCTGGGGAAAATAGATCTTGACTTTTGGGAGTTGTAGTTGCTGGGATTTATAGTTTGTTACAATCAAAGAACATTCTGAACTCCACCAACGATAGAATTGGCTCAAACTTCCAACATGGAATCCCCATGATCATCAGAAAATACTGTGTTTTCTGATGGTCTTTGGCGACCCCTATGACACCCCTTCGCGATCCCCTCAGGGGTCCCGACCCCCAGGTTGAGAAACACTGCCTTACACATTTTTTTGCCAGTCCTATATTTTACTGACAACACAAACAGTGGAAGTAAAGTACTGCCTCGCCATTTGTAGCTGGATTTCAAATCTCAGGGCCCTTCCACACAGCCATATAATCCAGAATATCAAGGCAGAAAACCCCACAATATCTGCTTTGAACTGTGTTATCAGAGTCCACACTGCCATATAATCTAGTGCAATGTGGATTTTGTACAGCTGTGTGGAAGGGACCCGAGTCTCCTTGTGGAGAGAAAAAGCAGGTTATAAATATGTCAAAAATATTAAAAATTAACTGGATATTTTTGATTACAAAAGTGTGAATCAAGCACTGAAAGAGTTAGTAGGCCGAAGCCTGTTAGTTAGTGAAAACTCAAAAAGTAGTTGGTCGATTGACTTGACATTTTGACATATGGTTGCATTCCAATACACACCTTTTAACAGTAAAATGAAATTTGGACACAACAGTGCACTCATAAGCATGCGTGTATTTAGTGTAAAACTAGCAGCCCTGGAGTAGACAAAGTGGAATCTGTGATGCCCAAAGCGACCACTCACAGGCAAACTTTCATTTTACCTCAGCAGTAAATGAATTAACAACCTATCACAAAGCAGCTTTCATTTTACCTCAGCAGAAGAAATAACAATCACAGAGCAGCTTTCCTTTTACCTCAGTAATAAAAGAAAAACAGCCAATCACACAGGAGTTGTCATTTTTTCTCAGCAGTATAAGAAATGAAAGCTGAGCTCTGATTTTTTAGCTTTTTAAGTTCTTTCTGCTGTGTTTTTCAGTGTTTTTATGAGTGAAGGTCACTCGTTGGCCTGACAGGTGTATTCACACCTAGCTCCAGCAGGGAAGAGCTCCTTGCCCCACCCCAGCCATTCCACAGATATATAAACCCATTGTCCTAATTCCAACAGACCTCACTACCTCTGAGGATGCTTGCCATAGATGCAGGCGAAACGTCAGGAGAAATGCCTCTAGAACATGGCCCTATAGCCCGAAAAAACCCACAAGAACCTAATAAGAAATACTGTTTACCCACAAGTATAAATTACATATTATTATTATTATTAAACTTTATTTGTACCCCGCTAGCATCGCCCGCAGGACTCGATACGGCTTACAAAGGCCAAGGCCTCAACACAACAACAGCAAAACAGTAACAGTACAATTTAATGCAAAATAAAAACATAAGCAATAAAAACAATACATCAATTATGCAATAAAAACCAGGGCCAGGCCAGTGATGGGTACAAGTTAAAAAGTGCTGGGTGTGGCAGGTGGTATTTGGATTTCCGGGCAAGTGCAATGTGCAGAGAGTCTTAAACTCTAATAAAGTGCTTCTGGGACGTAGTGCTGGAGATTATCCTATTCCGGAAAGGCACATCAGAATAGCTAGGTCTTCAGATTCTTCCTGAAGACTGCCAACGTGGGTGCTAGTTAGTCTAATGTCTTTGGGGAGGGTGTTCCAGAGTCAAGGGGCAACCACAGAGAAGGCCCTGTCCCTCGTCCCCACCAAACGTGCCTGTGATGCAGGTGGGATTATAAGCAGGGCCTCTCCGGATGAACGAAGGGATCATGTGGGTTCATACACAGAGATGCGGTCACGCAGGTAGGCAGGTCCCAAACCGTTTAGGGCTTTGTAGGTAAGCACCTGCACCTTGAATTGGGTTCGGTAGGTAAACGGCAGCCAGTGGAGCTCCTTAAATCTCTGTGTGTGAATCATCTATATAAATAAAAATGTCAGGAGGGTCTTGATTTAAGTTTTCTTGCCCTGGTGAAGGGACTTGGACTGGATAACCTCAAGTATGGGGGTTCTGTGTGGGAAGTTTGCCCCAGTTATGTCGTTGGTGGGGTTCAGAATGCTCTTTGATTGTAGGTGAACTATAAATCCCAGTAAGTACAACTCCCAAATGTCAACGTCTATTTCTCCCAAACTCCATCTGTGTTCACATTTCGGCATATGGAATATTCGTGGCAAATTTGGTCCAGATCCATCATTGTTTGAATACACAGTGCTCTCTGGATGTAGGTGAACTACAACTTCCAAACTCAAGGTCAATGCTCACCAAACCCTTCTAGTGTTTTCTGTTGGTCATGGGAGTCCTGTATGATCCGGTTGGTTCAGTTTTATCATGTGATTGTAGGTGAACTATAAATCCCAGCAACTACAACTCCCAAAAGACAAAATCAATTTTTTTGAGTGAAGGACATACATTGGATTGTTACGTGTCTTGTGTCCAAATTTGGTGTCAATTCGCCCACTGGTTTTTGAGTTCTGTTAATCCCACAAACGAATATTATATTTTTATTTATATAGAACAGGGGTCCTCAAACTTTTTAAACAGAGGGCCAGGTCATGGTCCCACAAACTGTTGGAGGGCCGGATTATAATTTGAAAAAAACATGAATGAATTCCTATGCACACTGCACATATCTTATTTGTTGTGCAAAAAAAAACCCACTTAAAAACAATACAATAATTAAAATGAACAATTTTAACAACTATAAACTTATTAGTATTTCAATGGGAAGTGTGGGCCTTCTTTTGGCTGTTGAGATAGGATTATTGTTGTTGTGTGCTTTCAAGTCACTTCAGACTTAGGTAGACCCTGAGCGAGGGCCAGGTAAATGACCTTGGAGGGCTGCATCCGGCCACTGGGCCTTAGTTTGAGGACCCCTGATATAGAAGATAGAAGATAGATAAGATTCCCATCCAAACCCAAGTAACGAAGGTAGTATAATCCAATTTAAAGCAGAAAACCTGGGACTGAAGGCCTGTCTGGGAGGGCCTATAGACAATCTTCTTTGTATTGTCGAAGGCTTTCATGGCCGGAATCACTGGGTTGTTGTAGGTTTTTTCGGGCTGTATGGTCATGATCTAAATTTTCTTCTATTTACAAACCGGAGCAGAAAATAAAGGCAATGGAATCCCATACTATTTATGATTATTACTTTAAGGCGGGGGAAGAGGACTGCATAGATCTGGCTGAACCCGCCTACCTCTCACCAAAAAAAAATACACTTAATGGCGTCTTCGTCTGCGCGTCAAAGAGTCGCTTTTGCGCATTGGAAGCGGCGTTAATTTGACAGACAGCTCCCAAAGCCGAGGATTGGCTGGAGCCGGAGATGACGCCCTTAACAACAAAGGTGGAGCTCGGAAAGTAAAAAAAAAAATTAAAAAAGAGAGAAAGAAACGAGGAGGGAGGAGGGGAAAAAAGACAAGCTTGCCTTTTTGGCTTTGGAAAAACGTCATGATTATTAATTTTCCCCCTCCACAAAAAAATGAAAAGAGGAGTGTCCCTTTTGGGCTTGTTTTTTTTCTTCCTAGTTGTTTACAAGTCAAACAAAACAGGGACCCTTTAAAAAAAAAAAGATGGCTCAGTGGCAAAAAAAAAAAAAAAAAACATGTCCGCAGTGGCAGAAAGAATTGTTTGCTTTGGGCATCACAGAAACCGATCTTTTTCTATCTCTCTTTCCTTTTGAAAAGAGAGAAAGAGAAAAGGAGAGAGAGAGAAAAGGGGGAGGTCTCAGGAGGAATTAAAAACCCGACTGCAGTGCGTGTGTGATTTGTGATCCCCGCCAAAAGGAAGAAGAGACAGAGAAGAGGAGAGGATTTGTGGCAAATGTAAGGCTTGGCCCCCTCCTCCTCCTCCTCCTTTCCTTCTTTCTCTCTCTCTTTTTTCCCCCCTCCCTTCTGGTTGGAGTACAACAGTGTTGCACAAGCAAAAGAGCAATAAAAACACAAGAGAGAGGCAAAAAGGAAAGGCGGACAGAAGAGCACAGAGAGGGAAGAGAGAGGAGAAAGGGAGGAAGCAGCCAAGATGGGTCCTGCCTTGGAGGAGAAGAAGAAGAAGGAAGGGAAGCAGGAGCAGCTCTGGCCTGAAGGATCCGGATTGGAAGAGAGAGAGAGGAGGGAGAGAGAGAGAGAGAGGAGGCAGAGGCAGCAGCAGCAGCAACAGCGAGCGCGATGGAGGCGGGGGAAAGCCGCGCCAGCTCTCTCTGCGGGGACGGGAGCGAGGAGTCCACGCCCGGGGCCAGCGCTGCAGAGCTGGCGTGCAGTCAACCCGCGCTCCTCCGGAAACAACGAGCCTCTCTCTGCTGCCTTTTCCCCGAGAAGCAGGTAAGAAGGCAAGGGGACGAATAGGGGGGTCGGTCTGTCTGGGGAGATGTTTCCCCCCGCGGCAAAGGCGAGGAGTGGGTGGGCGAGGAGGGGAGGGGGAAAGAGGGAGAGAGGAAGGCACGATCCGAGGTGGAGGAGGAGGAGAGCCTCTGCTTGCTGCTGCTGCTACTCCTGCTTCCTCCTCCTCTCTCCCTCTCTTTCCTGCAGCCGGGGCTTGGCTCGCCATTGAGCCGAGGGTGAGCACCGCCATCTGGGGAGGGAGAGGGAGGGAGAGAGAGAGAAGGAAGGAGGCGCTTTTGTTGCCGCTCCGGAGGAAGCAAGCAGGCGAGGAGAAGAAGGGAAGGGGAAGGCAAGGCAGGCGAGGTTCTTGCAGCAGCTGCAAGCAAACAAGAAGGGAAAGCAGGCAGGAGAGGCTCTTGCAGAAACGGTAAGCAAACTGGGGGGAAAAACACAACCCGTTCTTTACTTTGGGGGATATATTAATTCGAAAGTCGGGTGTTTTTTTTTTGCCACGCGGCTGCCGAAAGCAGGAAAGAGAAAAGGGCCACGAGTGGCGGCCATGGAAGAAAAGCTCTTCTTTGGCAAAGAGACTGAATCGCTTCTATTCTTCCCCAATATAAAGTCTAAAATCTTCCCTTTTTGCGGTGTCAAAGAGAGACTGAACCCCTAATCTCCCCTCTTTATAGAGCCTAAATCCTCCCCCTATAAAATCTAAATATTCCCCCCTTTTCAGAGCCTAAATCCTCCCCCTATAAAATCTAAATATTCCCCCCTTTTCCCCTCTTTATAGAGCTTAAATCCTCCCCCCTATAAAGTCTAAATATTCCCCCTTTTCCTCTCTTTATAGAGCCTAAATATTCCCCCCCTTTCCCCCTTTATGGAGCCTAAATCCTCCCCCTATAAAGTCTAAATCTTCCCCTTTTTGCTGTGTCAAAGACTGAATCCCCAATTTCCTCTTTATAGAACCTAAATTCCCCCCCAAAGTCTAAATCTTCCCCTTTTTGCGGTGGCAAAGAGAGACTGAAGGATCCGGATTGGATTCCCCCCCCCCCCCTTATCCTCGCCCTATTAAGTCTCAATCTTCCCCTTTGGCGGTGGCAAAAGAGTCTGAACCCCCAATTTCCCCCCCCTTTATCCTCCCCCTATAAAGTCTAAATCTTCCCCCCTTTGCGGTGGCAAAGAGAGACTGAACCCCCAATTCCTCCCCCCTTTTATTATCGCCCTATAAAGTCTAAATCTTCCCCTTTTTGCGGTGGCAAAGAGAGACTAAACCCCAATTCCCCCTCTTTATAGGGCCTAAATCCTCCCCCTAAAAAGTCTGTCTTCCCCTTTTGCGGTGGCAATAGACCGAACCCCCAATTTCCCCCCTTTATAGAGGTCTAAATTCTCCCCCTATAAAGTCTAAATCTTCCCCGTTTCGCGGTGTCAAAAGAGAGACCGAACCCCCAATTTTCCCCCCTTTATAGAGCCTAGTTTGACCCCCGACTAAAAAGAGAGTCCTTAAATGTATTTTGGAAGCGAAGGCCACCCTGTTGTGCCTTTTCTTTGCACTAAAAAGGAACGGCAATGGGTGCTTATTGGTTTGGGGTGTTTTCTTCCCAATGGGTGCACGAGGGGAGGCGCTCCCCGGGGGGATCTGGGCGAGGAAAGGCCGCGAGGGTGGCTCCCGCCAGATCCCCCCGGGGAGCGCCTCCCCTCGGTAGGCCTAGCTTCGCAGCCCTTCCGCCGGCCATGCCTTCTTCCTTCATGGCTGCCTGCCTCGCTGCTCTCTCCTCTTTCTCTCTCTCCTCGCCTCCTCTCCCTCCCGCCGCCCCCCTTCCTCCAGCCGCGGCTCCGATGGGGCTCTTGCTGCAGCGGCTCCTCTCTCCGGCTCCTGCTGCTGCTCCTCCTCCTCCCCTTTTCGCTTTTGCCACAACGAGGCGGGTTCGTCCTTCCTTCCTTTTGAGCGGCGGCGAAGGCAGCAGCAGCCCTGGCTTCGGCTTCTCCCTTCTTCTTCTTCCCTTTCTTTCTTTCCGGAGGCGCCCCAGAGGTTGGTTTCTCCACCAAGGCGGCTTGTTTTGGGGGAGAAAGAAGGGGAAGAAGAGGGAGGATGTAGTAAGAAAAGGAGGGAAGGGATTCGGATTGGGAAGGGGAAATAGAAGAAGGGATTTGGGAAAATAGAAGGGAATGGGGTTGAGGAAGGGAAAATTTATGAAGGGAATGGGTTTGCGGTTGGGGAAGGGAAAATATAAGAAGGGAATTGGGTTGGGAAAATATGAGAAGGGAATGGGGTTGGGAAAATATGAGAAGGGAATGGGGTTGGGGAAGGGAAAATATGAGAAGGGGTTTGTGGAAATAGAAGGGATTTGGGGTTGGAAAAAAGCTTCCGATTGGGATTGCAATTCGCATAGAGGCGTGTATTTCAGTCGAGAAGAAAGCTCCTGATTGGAAATAATAAGGAATTCGGGTTGAGATAATTTGGAGGGGGGCAACATAGGGAGGTAGTTTAAGGGAAGGGTTTTGGGTCGAAATGAAGCCTCCGATTTGGGGAAAATAATATAATATAGGGAAGAAAAAGAGGCACATATTAATGGAAGGGATTCGGATTGAAACCAAGTTTCGGATTGAGGTTGAAAATATAAAGATTTCGGTTGGGAATGGGGGAAAAATAATACAATATGGGGAAGGAAATGAGGTGGTTTAATGGCGGGGATTTGGTTTGAGAGGAAGCTTCCGATTGGGATTGAAAATTAATGGGAAAGGGAGGCACAATCTAATGGATTTTGGGTTGAGAAAAAGCTTCAAATTGGGATTGGAAATACAACAAAAGAAAGGAATTGGGTTGGGAAAAACGTCTGAAAAAATAGTAAAGAAGGGATTTGGGTTGAGAAACAAATTTTCTGAGAATGGGGGAAAATAATATGAGAAGGGATTTGGGTTGAGAAAAGAATGGAAATTAATGGGGAAAGAACTGGTTTAGGGGAGAAAAATGGGAGAGAAAAGGTTATAATATCCCACAAGAACAAAGGGCAGAAACGAGGGCGTTTGTTGTCGAGCAGAGGAAGCTTCCATCTGGGAATAGAGAAAAAAATATTTTTCAGAAATAAAATGCGAGGATCCAAAGATGGCCTCGTTTTTCTGGGGAGAGAAAGGCTCCTGGGGATGAAAATAAAATGAGAATTAATTCCAGGAGGCGAGGATCCAAAGATAGGAAGGGAGCTCGGTGAGGAAAGGCTGCTGCCTCCGCCACCAAGCCTAGGAGCCAAAGGAAAGCGAGGAGGAGGAGGAGGGAAGGCAGGGAAGCAGAAGGCTGGAGTCCATTAAAAAAAGGAGGAGGGGGAGAGAAGGAAGCGGGAAGCCAGGCAGGCGGGCGGGCGAAGGCGCGTCGGCGTCGGTGAGGTCTCTCCTTCGGAGGCGCCCGCGGGGCGTGAGGAGTGGAGAGAAGCAGGGAGGCGGGGGAGGAGGAGGAGGAGGCGAAGCAGCAGCTGCGGCGGCAACAGCAACAACCCTGGCGGCTTCCCTGCCTGGAGACAAGCGGAGAGAGGAGAGGGAAGGGAAGGCAGGCAGGCAAGCAAGCAAGCAGGAAGGAGGGGGCGGCCAAGAGCAGCAGCAGCAGCTGTGCCTCGCGCTGGCTCTCTCTTCTGCTGCAAGGCGGGGATTGGCTGCTGCGGAGAGCCATAAGGCGGGGGAAGAGCGCGCCCCGCAGGCCCCGCCCCTTGGCCTGCTCGCCCCGCCTCCCGCCGAGGAGGGCCTGCTCGAGCTCAGAGTGTGACATCCTGCTGCTGACTCCTGGAGAAATCTGGGGCTTGTAGTTTAGGGGAGGGGCCTTTACAACCAAAGCGGCCCTGAGCCTCACTTCAACTACAAGCCCCACAATTCTGCAGGAGGCAGTCACAGGACTAGCCAATTAGCTTCCGAGCACAATTCAAAGTGCTGGTTTTAATCTATAAAACGTGGTGCAGTGGGTTAAACCCCTGTGCCGGCAGGACTGGAGACTGACAGGTCGCAGGTTCGAATCCAGGAAGAGGCGGATGAGCTCCCTCTATCAGCTCCAGCTCCTCATACAGGGACATGAGAGAAGCTTCCCACAAGGATTATAAAAACATCAAATCATCCGGGCGTCCTCTGGGCAACGTCCTTGCAGACAGCCAATTCTTTCATACCAGAAGCGATTTGCAGTTTCTCAAGTCGCTCTTGACATGACAACCCCCCCCCCCCCACAAAACGCTTTACTGTTCTGGCCCAGTTTACCTACCCAAATGTATTCATCAAGGGTGTTAAGATCTTCCGGAGAGGCCCTGCTCTCAGTCCCGACACCTTCGCAGTTGCGTCTGGTGGGAACAAAAGACAGGGCCTTTTCTGTGGTGGCTCCCCAGCTATGGAACTCTCTCCCGAATGAAATTTATTTATTTAGTACATTTCTATACAGCCCCTCTCAGCCCTGAGCTCACTCAAACGACAAACCCCACAATTCTGCAGGAGGCAGCCATAGGATTAGCCAATTAGCTTCCAAGCACAATCCAAAGTGCTGGTTTTAACCTACAAAACGCTTTACTGTTCTGGCCCAGTTTACCTGTCTGAACGTATCCATCAAGGGCATTACGATCTACTGGAGAGGCCCTGCTCTCAGTCCCACCACCTTTGCAGTCGCATCTGTTGGGGCCAAGAGACAGGGCCTTTTCTGTGGTGGCTCCCCAGCTATGGAACTCTCTCCCGAATGAAATTTATTTATTTAGTACATTTCTATACTGCCCCTCTCAGCCTTCCGGCGACTCGAGGCGGTTTGCAAGGCAAGAATTCARTGCCACCAAGGACACAATTACACTATACAATATAAAAACATCAGCAACAATAAAATCAAACATTATAATGAAACATACTTCAATCGATAATCATTAAAACAATGTCCAGTTTCACCATATAGTTATTCCATTATTATATCCGTTACTCCATATTTTCAAATGGCAGCTCAAATAGCCATTGTCTTAAGATTCTTCCGGAATGATAGGAGTGAGGAAGCCAATCTAATCTCCCTAGGAAGGGCGTTCCATAGCCGAGGGGCCACCACTGAGAAGACCCTGTCTGTTGTTCCCGCCAATCGTACTTGTGATGATGGCGGGACTGAGAGCAGGGCCTCTCCAGATGATCTTAAAGTCCTTGCAGGTTCATAAGGGGAGATTCGTTCGGACAGGTAAGTTGGGCCAGAATTAGATCTGCTCCCTCCCTCCTAACCTTTAGGAAGCAAGTGAAGCCTTGGTTGTGGAACAAGGCATTTGCAGAGTGGTGGCTGAGACTGGTCATTGACTAAGGTATTGACCACAATATGTTGGACGTTGTTTTTTATCCTGGTGAATGTTTTATTATGCTTTTTATCTGGTATGTATTTTTAACATTGTACATATGTGATGTTTTAAAGGTTTGTTTGTGAGCATTGAATTCTTGCTGTTAGCCGGTCTGAGTGCCTCAACAGAGGTAGAGAAGAATGGGATACAAAGTTTTAAATAAATAAATATCAAATGGGCATATTCTTTCAGCTCTAGTGCAAGCATCCTTGGGCCTCCAACTCCCAGAATCCCTGACCAAGAGCAAGCTAGCTAAGGCTTCTGGGAGTTGGAGACTCAAAGAGCTGGAGGGCTGCAGTGTTAAGATGCCTCCTCAGGTGCAGTGCTTCCCAAGCATTGATCCTCCACGTGCTTTGCACGTTGACCCCCAGAAGCCTCAGTTAGCTTGGCCAACTTAGGAATTTTGGGAGCTGAAGTCCAAAACACCTGGAGGACCAACCACTGCTCTAGGATCCTGATTTACTGTAACTGTTGTGTTCATGTTCTGTGTTCTGTACACCGCCACGAGTCGCCTTCGGGCTGAGAGTGGCGGTTAACAAATGCAAAAAATAATAATAATAATAATAATAATAGTTCAAGGGTCCTCGCTGAGTCTGTTTGGGACTATAGCTTAAAAAAATATGAATTCCTATGCACACTTAAAGTTTCATTTGTTTTTGTTTTTTTGTTTTTTAACTAAATTTATAAATGTACAGATTTTTTTATTGCATTTTTAAAGTACATGTTCTCATTGAGGCTTTGTATATATTTTCATCTGCATTTGTTTTAAATGTGTAAGCTGCTTTGAATCCCCATTTGCGGGCAAAAGGAAAATAGAAACCTATAATTACTTGTTTCTCAATGGCATAGTTCTTTTTGTTTCCTCAGTATCCTTGGTCATTTTATAGTTCCTCCTTCCCCAAAGTACTTAACTACATACTTCGTTCTAGTGTGCCTCCCAAGTTATTTTTGACATACACTGACCCTCAGGGGTACTGATTTCAGGGATTTTTGTCCATACCGGTTGGTATTGCCTTCCTTTGAGGTTCATATGTCGCTGATGATGGATGAGAGTTGCCCTCTAAAGACACTTACATAGAGAACAAATTATCCACCCTTTCTTGGTCTAGAGGCAAGAGATTGTGTCTGTGTGTGTGTTTTATGTGACTCCTAAGAATGTTTACACCAGACAAAATATTCCTATTGCAGTATATATAACAAGTTAATTTCAGGGTGAAAAGGTTCTTGGCTGTGGGCCGTCAGGGCTCATGGTAGCCCAGAGATGGGAATTGTGATGGAATTACTGCTCTAACCCTGAAATGGTTCGGGCCCTGCCTATCTCCGTGATTGCATCTCCTTCTATGAACCGGCGCAAACTCTAAAATCTTCTGGGGAGGTCCTCTTTTCGCTCCCACCACCATCACAAGTAGGGTTGGTGGGGATGAGAGAGAGAGGGCCTTCTCGGTGGTGGCCCCCCGCCTCTGGAACGCCCTTCCAAGGGAAATAAGGCAGGCCCCATCCCTCCCCTCCTTTCGTAAGAGCTTGAAGGCCTGGTGGTTTCAACAAGCCTTTGAGAATGATCCAACCCAAACATTGTTGAATATGGCCTTGCACTCTTACCTTCTACCCCGGTCATCCCTCTAATAGGCCCTGGAAATGAGCAGCCACAGACCCGTACCTGCTATTGCCGTTAGCCTGTTATAGCACTGTCCTTAATTCCCGGCCCCCTCATATTTTGAGTTTGTACTAGCCTTGGTCTGGCTTTTTAATTGCTCTGAATAGGCAGGATTATTTTTTTAATATACATGCATTATTGTGATAATTTTATGCTTATTTTTTTAAAAAAATTTAATGTTATGCTGTTTACTTTGTATGTTTCGGTGATGTTATTTGGAAACCGCCCTGAGTCCCCCTCGGGGAGATAGAGCGGTATATAACTAAAGTTTTATTATTATTTATTATTGTATTATAATGTGCTGTTACAGTTGGTCCTTGCATCCATGGTTTTGATTTTTGCAGATTTGGTGGATGTATTCCTTATAGGAATCTCTATGCCCTCTAGTGTGACTCTTGTGTCAGTTTCCTTTGCTGGAGGACTTAAAGAAAAACCTCTTAATGTCCTCTAATGTGATTCTATGGTCACCTTCCTGTGGCAGTTGACCTAGAAATTGCTAGAAAGATGTCCACCCAGGTTGGAAAAATAGTGATTTCTTTATTCATGTTTTTCAGTTTTATGTGGGTTTTGTGCCCTTAACCCCAGAAAATGTAGAGGGTTGGCTGTATTTGCAAGGATTGCAGGTGTGGTGTCTTATCCATGGTCAAGTTCTCTGTGTGCAGAGTATACTGTGTGCGGAGTATACTCAGTGGTACTGCTTCATCGGAGAGGTAAACCATGACTCCGGTTTGTTGTTCGTTCTTTCAGAGTGACGGTTGATTGGCGCCACCGTGAAGGGGGAAGAGAGGGAGTTGGAAGGGGGAGACCCAGGAGGTGTCACCCTAGGGTCTGAGAAGTGGAGGATGAACGGAGAAGCGGACAGTCCAACCGAATTAGACATGACAGCCCCTAAGAATCAAGGTGAGAAGGGTCGACTTAATTGTACAGATCTCAGACTGCAAATAACCATTCTGAACAATATTCTCTAAAAGGTTTAAATTTATATATGTGATGAGCTCAGCGTTTCCCTGATTTTGACTGTTGCTAAGGAAATTAATATAATTTGCTCAAATGATAAGTCAATTACATGTGAATGCTTTCTGGTGCAATGCCTGTGCCCAGTTTTCACAGCACATTGCATCTCATTTTTGTGCTAGCCACCTTGTGCTTGGTTTTTTGAAGTTCATATATGTGAGTTTCCACTGGTTATCCTAAGTCTATCTCTGAGTGTTGGGTGGGTTTACAGTATGGGGTTCAGCTGTATTACCTTTTGAAAGAATGCCAAATTTCTCCCCTAAGAATCCTATATATATGCTGTTAGTGTCGTTTTCCCTTAATTATGTCATTTTAAAATCGAGTTTTTTCTTGCTTACAGGGAGTTTAGAAATGTAAAGCTGGAGGGAAGGAGAGCTTATTTATTTGAATAAAAATAGTTACTGGTTCTAAAGCCTTAATTTGAGGGTTGGGGACCCTTTAAGAAAGGTAAAGGTTTCCCCTTGATATTAAGTCCAGTCATGTCCGACTCTGGGAGGTCGTGCACATCTCCCATTTATAAGCTGAAGAGCCAGTGTTGTCCATAGACACCTTCAAGGTCATGTGACCAGCATGTCTCCATGGAGTGCCGATACCTTCCTGCAGAAGCGGTACCTATTGATCTACTCACATTTGCATGTTTTTGAACTGCTAGGTCAGCAGAAGCTGGGCCTAACAACGGGAGCTCACCTTGCTCCCCAACTTTGAATTGCCAACATTTCAGTCAACAAGTTCAGCAGCTCAGCAGTTTGACCACTGTGCCACCAGGGGCCCCTGGGAACCCTTTGGGCTAAATTAAATTTCAGAGAAATTCTTGGAGGGGAAGATTCTCTGGATGGGTGAGAATAAAAATACTATTACATTTTACCTTCTTATTCTTAACTTCAAGTACCTAAGTCACAGGGAAGACATTTCAGACCTTTAGAATGGGAAACCAAACAAAAATGGAAAAACTGACAGATAATAGCGTGATAATGAAAGGATTGTAGAAATTTCATAGCGACCAGATTCAGTCCAAGGGCCTGAGATTCTGCATCAACCTGAGTGTAGGGGTTAGGAAAATGTGGTTTACAGGCTTTGGCATTATTGTGCCCCTTCAAGCCTTCAGGCCCAGCACAATTTATTATTTTTCCTAGTCTCTTTGCACCCCAAATAGGTAATATGTCTGCAAAGTAAATCTGTTTTGCCACCTGAAACTTTGCAGAAAAGAAAAAAAATCGTTTTGAAACTGGAAAGTCACATCAGGTGTGCCAGTGTGACCCACAAGGGGATATCCCCTTCCCCCTCAAAGGATTTCCCACTATTACCTTTGTATTCATACCACAAAATTTAATGCTATACAGAGAGGTACCCTTTCCCTCATTGTTTTTCTTCAGACCGTTGGACCCAGGAAGATATGCTGACCCTCTTGGAGTGCATGAAGAACAATTTGCCCTCCAATGATGGCGGCAAGTTCAAAACCACTGAATCCCACCTGGATTGGGACAAAGTTGCTTTCAAGGACTTCTCCGGCGAGATGTGCAGGTTGAAATGGATTGAGATCTCTACTGAGGTAAATTCCTGCTTGGCCTTTTGGGAACTTAAGTCATGCAGTGTCACATTGGATGGGATGTGGAGCAAACACTGGGATGCAGAGCAAACACTCAGATGTGGTCTGGGCTTTCAGGTATATCGCACTGCTAACCAGACATGCCTAATCCAGGCTGTTCAGCACTGCTCCATTCTTTAGTAGCCTCTGTCTTACTTTCGGTGACCTCCCCAATCACCAAATAACCCAAATCTATGTGTGCAAACCACCATAACTGTACATGCTATGCGCTCTCAGTTCTGGACCATCACACTTGACAAATTACACATATTTTGTACCCTTTGTGCCCAGGAAGGCCAGTTGGCTCTGTACTACCTTCCATATCTCTTTTAGTCAATAATCTTACGTCCACTTTTCTCAGGATAAGCCTCTTACTGGAACAAGGGAGAGATAGATAAAAGTTACAGTGTTAAGCTTCTAATTTTGCAAATTAAAACCATTAGTTCTAGAAAGAACATTCTGTAATATGGGGTCAACTCAAATAAAACACAAAACCTTGATGTAGTGGTATGTGGACAGGCATAATGAGCCCAAGTGAAGAAGTGATCTCTCATCCCCCATTTTCCATTGCATCCAAGATGAATGCCCTTGTATTGACATTTCGAATTTATGATATTTGAGCCCAGAACTGCTATTTTTAAAAGAGTCAGATCTCAACAGAGTTTACAATTCTCATTCACAGAACAGCACTCCTTATAACCCCACATTTTCTTCATTACAGAAATATATTTTCTGTGTGTGTGTGTGTCAAGACAGACAGAGCAAGAGAATTTTTGAGTTCCTGTTAAACTAAATGGAGGCAGAAACCCATGTCAGTTACAAATCAATTAAGAGAACTGACACTACATGGAGATCTATCATCTTCCCACTCTTGTTGAACCAGAGCTTGCAGTTGTCTTGAGGAGGAAGGGTAACCGAATGTTTGTATAGAACGTCATTCTTAGGCAGAACAATCGGTGTAGTAGTAACACTACAGTTTAGCATTGTGTGCAAACATGGTCCACTATTCTGCTTCTAACATTAAAAAAATCATGCTTTGAGGAAAAATGGGTTTTGCAGGGAAACATTAGCACAGCACTACTATGTTTAATTAATTTATTATTATTCATTTACAGCATTTATATACCGCTTTTCTCACCCCTAGTGGGACTCAAACTTCCCTCTAGTTTAAACGGAGCTTATATAACTGTTTAAACAATGCTGTTATAAACACATTTAAAACAGACTTAACATACTGCCTGACTACAGTTCATTGCTGTTGTATATTCTGTGCATTTATCTGGTGTGCTACACACAAACAGAAGGGTGTCTGCTACAAAGAACGTCCACTTCTCAGTCATTCCACCACCGGACTGGGAAATATTGAGATCGTCTACATTTTAATCACCTGCTGATAATTTTTCAGAGTAAATTTTGCATGTTGTTTCAAATTCAGTTCCTATTTTGAGAATGAAAGGAAGTGAAAGAAATGTTAAGTTACTCACTCGTTAGGACAAAAGCTGTTGTTATTTTTTAAAAAAATAAAAATGCACTAACAACTACAAAACTTAAGAAAGATAAATATTTTAAAATACAGGTCATCAATTTCAACAGAAAGAAAAGAAAAAAGTAACTACAAGTCTTTTGCAGTTATATACTGTATGCATATTAATATTCTTACCTTGTCTTAAAAATACAACATATTTCTTTCTTTCAGTGGTCTTAACCCATAGTAAATCATTTCCATTTTTTTATTTTTTGCAAAAAGTCTGTAAGTGGTTTCCAGCCTTTGACCAATGTTTATTTGCTGTTTCCATCAGTTTAACTATTTTCCATCTTCCACCTTTGTACATGCAACAGTATCACTGTGATGGTGATATATTGAAGCGATCTTCCATGACTCTTTCCCAACTGTACTTCTGTCTCAAAAGAAAATTTCCAGTTTTAATTGAACATTTATCTTTGTAATCCTCTGTTTCAATGTTTGTATACTATTTCACATGTTCACCACAAATGATAAGTGTCCCTTCATGTTTTTCACATTTCCAGCACATTTTAGATACATCTTTACAGTTCTGAGATCATATGCCAATTATACGGTTTATAATTTTTTTCTTTACGATCATAACATTTACAATCTCTGAGGTCAAGAAAGGCAAAGTACAAATAAATAAATAAATAAATTCCATCCCTTTTGACTACATATTTCCCCACTGGTCCATCTGCATTTTATAATCAAAGCTCTTAACCATTTTATCATACAATTTTGGAACAGTTTATACATTTTCATCATATGTACACAGTTGCATTTCCCAGCAAAGAAAGGAATAACCTGCTGTAAATTGGGTTGCTCCTCCTACCCACTCCTGTTAAGGCCGGAAAAAGAGAGATCTTCCAGTAGAAGCCATTTCACAGAAGGTTGGCTTTTCCTGCTTACTGCTCATGTAGGGTGTGCTCTTCATACCTCTTTGACCTTTGCTGCTACAGCCAATTACAAAACCCCAGATTCAAGTGGAGAATGGGAAGTCTGTTGAGTGCAAAACAGCCTCACCAGTGCCTCATCGCCTGAAGCTCAGAAAATGCTGTTGAAAGCCATTGAGGTATGCAAGAAATTAGCTACCCATGACTCCGAGGATAGTGATGTGGATGGAGACCCTTACACTTACTCCTCTCATACAGAAGACGGGGAGCTCTCTTCAGAGGACAAAGGAGGGGGAAGGAAATGGCTCCCAAATCTGCTCGTTTGTTTTGCATGGAACACTTACCTGTACTTTTAAGAAAAGTGAATAGAGCCCTAGGCCATATCCTCCCAACTGAACACCAACTCCGCAGGACAAAGGCCTACCAAGGGTAGCTGAAGATGTATTTCCTACCAGCTCCCCTTCAACATGGGAGATGCCTTCTCTATCTAATCTCATGAGCCTTGGAGATGAATGAAACATACCTGCAGTGACCAACTAGGCACCAGCACCACTAAGAAGCTATATAATCTCCACAAATGTCTTGCAGAGAAGCTGCAGGTCCTCCTGGTGGACACCTGCATCTGTGCTCATAACTTCTCTTTTTTGCAGAGATGGCACACTAATAGTATCCTAGGACAGAAGGGCAGAATCAGCCTTTAAGAAGGATGAGGAAGCAATTTTTGGGCCATTAAGATGGCTGTATCCATGTTGCCTCATTACAGTGAACATTTGAAAGAGATTTCCCCACATGAGACCTGAACAAACTCCTAGAGGCAGCTGTTGATATAGCAGGTGGCATAGCACAATAGCAATAAGGTGCCAACTGTGACTCAAAACCTAGAATGTGTGTGGCGTTCACTCCTTTCCTGAGAGCTAGCTCTTTAAGGAAGTTTGTGGAGCCAATGCTAGAAAACAGCAAGGATTAAAAAGAGACACTAACTACAGGAAATAAGGAAGATAGGAAGCACTTTAGACAATGGTATATCTTCTGTGTTCTCCCAGATTTCATTTTTCTCATCGTCATCCCCCAGCTCTTCCTTTCAGTTCAGAAACACACCATAACAGAAGGTGGAAGGTTTTTGTGTAAGGCCAAGTGCTCTAGTACTTCAGTCAGATCTCAGTACAGAGACCGATGCAAGAACCAACGGGTGTGCCGGTTTTTTTTTAGTAGGAGGTTTTCGTCCAGAGTTGGGAGAACTGTACTTCCTACCAGTGGGGAGAATAAGAGTTCTCTCATGGGCCTCATGGTGCCTACATGGTGTTACCTAAGTCCAGGAATTCAGTGAAATACTGTCACCTACTGGAAGTCATTGAGCATCTGTTCCAGATAGTCACAACAGAGGGGGAGCTATTGCTCCAAAAATGAAGGTATTGTTATTCCATCCTTCTCCTCTCTCCCGAAAACAACAGAATTTGAAGAGTCATCCTGAATCTGCTTTGAATGGAAATGGAAATTCCACATGGTGATAATGAAGCATGACCTGGAGGTCAACCAGCCAGGGGATTTCCCATCATCTGTAGAGCTTCAGGAGGCATATTCCTATCCACCTGTCTCACTATCAGTCCCTGCACTTTGTCTGACATTAGCACTTCCAATGCAAGGCATTGTTGTTTAGCCTGTCATCGGTATCAGAATGTGCATCAAAATCATGGTGGACTTGGTGGCATACTGGAGGAAGTTGCACCTGTACATCCACTCTTATTTGCACTGTCTCCTGAATTGGTCAGTATTGTGGCAGCAGGACCAATGGAATATGCAGCAAGTCTTGGAGTCCCTGCAGCAGGATGAGTTCTTAGTAAATGCCAAGAAGAGTTCTCACAAACAGATTCAACACTTTGGATCAGTGATCAACATCTTAATGGGAACAGTTTCCCTCTCACTGGACTTGACAAACACTCTTGTCCAAGTCCATTCTTGCCATCTAAAGCCAAGCTATACCAAGCCCAATTTGGCTAGTGCACTACAAGCTGATGATTGCTGCAATAGAGTGCCTCCCTTGGGCGCTTCTCCATGACATGCAGCTTCACTGGTTCCTTCTCCCTCACCTATTTACTATAGATTTAATTAGTCAGCAATCCCTCAAGGTACATCAGCAAATTATTAGCTCCCTCATATGGTGGCTGTCACCAGCATCAGCAGGGGGTGTGCCATCTGGAAGCTGGAGAGGATTTAGAGAAGCACATACCAGTTTGAGAAATTGAGAACCTATAGCTGTCCCTACTTGGATCAGGGCAGATGGAACCAGGAACAATTGAAACACAGCGAAACTGGGTGGAACTCAGAACATCAAGACTACAATTTGCAAAACTAATCTATATCATGGCTGTTCTCATAAGGATAGACAACATCACCATAAAGGACCACATAAATTAGGAGGATGGGATAAGATCATACTCCTTGCTGATGGAGGTGTAGAAGTTACTGAACTGGGTGGAAGAAAACCTGCCATCTCTGGAGGCAGAGTGTACAGATTGCACCCTGAATGTGAGACAGTGCAACCTTGGCCAAAGGGAATAGAGCCTCCATCCAAGGAGTTCAGCATGGTCGCAGTCATAGTCAAAGCTATTCACCACAGCAAATGTCTAGCCACCGAAGTATATATCCAGGAACCAATCAGAAGGGGCATAATGCCCCTCCCCAGCCTACTCTGTGCCTTCTCTCTGATACCACTACTACCCAAGCTGGTGATGGGGAGGATTCATAGATGGTGAGAGCCATGGTGATCTTGATGGCTCTAGTTCAGGTTGGAAGGACTGGTTCTCCAAGCTTATGGACATGGCATTGAATCGCCTGCCTCTGCCAGTGCACTTAAATCTCCTCTCACCAAGACATGGCTACAGCTCCATATCTGAAACTTGAACGGAACATGATGAACAGCTGTGGCTACTGTGAGAGGGTTGTAGGCACCCTCCTAGCCTCCAGGTGCGAGTGAATTAACAAAATATGCAAGTACCCCTTTGTTCTCAGAAGGTACAGAACAAAGTATGTGGGTTTTCTCAGATTCTCTATAACAATCCTACTAGTTGTTGAAGGCTTTAATAGCCGGAATCACTGGGTTGTTGGGAGCTTTTGCTGTGAACATGTTGAAGGCTTTAATAGCCGGAATCACTGGGTTGTTGGGAGCTTTTGCTGTGAACATGACCATACAGCCCAAAATACTCACAGCGACCCAACCCTACTAGTTATTGCAAGATTGTATTGACTGACCACAGCCTCAGATTCAACATGATCAAGAGATAACACCAGATTCAACACCATCAAGAGACAGCCTCAGATTCAACACCATTACACCCATACTGCCACACGGATGGGCAACAGAGGGTTAGTTTGATCTATACATGCGCAGGTTCCTGATAGCTCTACCAAATCTGATTCAATCCACAGCCCATCACTTTATGTTCCTGGACCAATACATAGACCTTAAAGTAAAGGTGTGAAACTCAAGGCCGCATCAGCCTTATGGATGCCTTTAAAGGGCCATTGAATCCATGGACAGAGAAGACGTGGGTACAGAGGGTCAAATATATTTTTGCAACATTAATATCACTTTTATTTTCTCTTCATAATTTGAATGTCAGTCCTTTCCCTGGTTTATCTGCAAATTGTTTATTTTATTTTACACAATTTATTTTTATTTCTTATCTTTCTCACCATTAATTAACAGAGATAATTGCCTCTGTAAAACCTTATTTTTGTTTGTAATCATTATCTAAGACAAAGGCTGTGGTTAATATGACTTATTTCTGCTACAAAGTAATAACAATAGATTGCACACATGAGCAGTTGCGTCCTTAGCTCTTGATCCAACTTGAATCATGGCATTATTTGATCTCATGAACCTTTAAAAATAACAAAACAAAAAAACCCAACAAAAGTATTGTAATTGCTGGTTTCTCATTGCTTAACAACTGCTGGTTTTCCTGCAGGTAAGGAAGTATCGAACCCTGACAGAACTGATAATGGATGCTGAAGAGCATGTAAAAAATCCCTACAAGGGCAAAAAGCTGAAGGTAAGTATGTTGACTTTGAAGAGATGGGCTAGGCATACAATGTGACTTTCTGAATCAAGCCAGCTGCTCTTGTTTCCTGCTTGGCTTACGTTGCATGACAGTTCAGCCAACATCTTCTGTGCTTCTTAATCTTGTCCCCTTTCAACCCTCTATACTTTGGTGATCATGGGTAGTTTAAGACACCGGACATTGAAAGTAATGTGTGACTTCTATTAATTTTTTAGTAGTCGTTAATTTTTGCACAAGCAACCTGGCACAATTCTGTTTTGGTTTTGCTTTCTTGGCTGTAATGAGCAGGGCTGTAAATCGCTACTTTTCATTGTTTCATGATGATTTGTGTGCCTGTTATTCACTACTATATGTGTTCTGAAACAGTCTGAGCATTTTAAAATTGGGGGGGGGGATTTAAAATTATTTATCATTTATTGATTTATTTGTGTTATATCTCGCTTTTCTGCTGGTATGGTGCCCTGCTTTCTCTGCTTTCTTCCATTCTGAAATGAACTATACCGATACTCCTCCCAGAAAGGGAAAATAAGTGATATTAATGTGAGGAGGTAGAAAAGAGGTCACATCTCCAAACAGCAGCATTGGATGTACACTTGGAGCAGTTGTGATGGTATGAGCTGTACAAGACAGTTTAGAGGACAAAGGGGGTTTCTCTACATGCCCTATGCTGCCTAAGGCATGAGAGAGACAACAGTTGTTTTGGAAAGATGACAGGGAATTGAATTTTTACAGCTATTTAGTTTATTCCAGCTCTATAATTGTGCAAGTGAATTACTTCTACTGCACTAATGCCCAAATTATCTGGGTGTAGTGGATTGTAGGGATAACCCTAGCAGGACAGCCCTGACAAAATTGCAATGATGGTGAAAGGGGGAGAAGGAGAGAACATTTTCTGGTGTATTTCAGTGTACACTACTAACTATAAAGTGTCAGTGGTGAGTAACCCAAAAAGTTGCTTTCTGACCTGTAGTAACAAAGGCTTATTAAAAGTACAATTGGCCAGCCACATTTATAAGGTTTACTTCCACGGTTTTGATTATGTGCAAACCTGTGTCATCCCATTTGCCTACTGAAGCTGGGGGCTGCCATTCATATGATCTTAGGAGGTGGTGGGAGGGAGGGGTTGAGGGATCATCCCATATATGTTACCTAGCTCTTGAATTTAGGTTTCCTAAGATCCCCAAGGTAGTTCTTCTCTCAAGAAATGGGTGGCAATATTAATATAATATAATCTAAATAAATAAAAATGTAATGTCCGTTTGTGGGATTAACAGAACTCAAAAACCACTGGACAAAAACCACCAACAACCCAATGTATATCCTTCACAAACAAAAAATGATTCTGTTATTTGGGAGTTGTAGTTGTTGGGATTTATAGTTTACTTACAATCAAAGAGCATTCTGAACCCCACCAATGATGGAATGGAACCAAACTCGGCACACAGGACTCCCATGACCAACAGAAAATACTGGAAGGGTTTGGTGGGCAATGTCCTTTGGTTTTGGAGTTGTAGTTCACCTACATCAGAGATCACTGTGGACTCAAACAATGATGGATCTGGACCAAACTCTACACAAAGACTCAATATGCTATAGTTGATTTTGCCCAGGGGTGCTCTTGAGGCGCTCTTGAGGGAAAATAGATCTTGACATATGCGAGTTATAGTTACTGGGATGTATAGTTCACCTACAATCAAAGAGCATCCAAGATGACTGTGGACTCAAACAATGATGGATCTGGACCAAACTTCACAAGAATACTCAATATGCCCAAATGTGAACACTGGTGGAGTTTGGAGAAAATAGACTTGACATTTGGGAGTTGTAGTTGCTGGATTTATAGTTCACCTACAATCACAGAGCATTCTGAACCCCACCAACGATAGAATTGGGCCAAACCTCCCACACAGAACCTCCATGTGGGCCACAGCAACGCGTGGCAGGGGACGGCTAGTATAATATATTATAATATAATATTGTATATACATAATATTTATAATATAATGTAATGCAATATAATACTAGTAATAGTATGATATTATAATTATATATTTATATTACATGTAATATTAATATTAAAATATAATGGTATAGTACAATATAGTAATACATAATACTGATATTATACTATGATAATATAATGTATTGTATGTATATATATCTTGTAATCTGCTCTGAGTCGCCTTCAGGATGAGAAGGGCGGCATATAAATGTCATAAATAAATAAATAAGGGGTGAATCATCACCTCCCACCTCCTGAGGTCATGTGAATGGCAGCCCCCAACTTGGCAGCAATAATAAAAGATGATAGGGACAGTGGGCAGAGGCCTTTGAAATGTTTGATGAAAAGAAGATGAACAAATGCAAATGTAGCATTGAATTCAGAGGCAAGTCAATGCTTCATTGAGAGCAAGACTTCATGGGAATGTTCCCTAGTAAAGCAGTGGCATGGAAGATTATGCAGTGCCACCCACCCTTTCCCATTGCTCACCTATTGAGGACCTGGCTACCTCAGGAATGTTCACCAGGGCTGATCCCTCACCACCCCTTGCTGTGAGCTTTGAGAAAGGTTCAGCGGCTGTAGAGTCGGCAGCCTGACGCGCATTCTTTGTGCTCACTGCAAACCAGGCCACAAGTCGTCTGCTGTACAGTGTTTGCACATTCTCCATTTTTTGCAGGGAGGTGACCCCCCCTTACCCCTGTGAAAGTGGAGGATTCACTGTAATGTTTTGTTTTTTGACAAAAACACAGTAACCACACCTCATCCTCCAAAAAACATGTGACACTTCATGATTATACTGTAGGGGATCACAAGATACTCATTTCCATTGTGCATGCAAGCGCTGAGTTTAGTTTGAATTGAGTTTTGAGATATTTATATCACACACTTCTTTCACTGAGCGAATGGTGGTTTCATGTGGATCTTTGCCCTCTCCACTTATCCTCATAATAGCAGTGTAAGTAGATCAGACTGATAAATGTCTGCCCCGTAGGTCATTCAGTGAGTTTCTTGGCTCACTGGCTCGAACCTGGATTTTTCATGTCCAGTCAGGCACTCTTATCCATAATATCACACTGACTTTTCTAAAAGTTTCATTACAAAGTCATTTAGTTTAAACATAAGTAGGAAAAAACCATACGGCCATAGTAGTGTGTGTGTGTGTGTGTGTGTGTGTGTGTGTCTACCAGCGTGATGCCTCATCTAGCAAAGCACGAACATTGATGGAGCACTAAAGACAAGTAGGTGTAAAACAATTTGGAGTTATTTTGTTTTATTTTTAAAAGTTCCTGTGTCAGATGATAATAGGGTCCAAAAATACCCATAGAGATTGTCATAAATTTAGATCAAGAATTTATGAACGAAACTTGAAGGAGTATCAATAAGAAGCCGACGATTAAGGCAAACGAAGACAAGAGAAATACGATATTTACCAAACCTGGGTGGTCCTGGAAGTATTTTAACCACCCCTTCCTCATTACCCCACTTTTCCATTTTTAATATATTTTTATTATTTTTATTTTTTCTCTCTTCTTTTTTCTTTTTTTTTCTTTTTATCTTTTTCTTTCAACTCTTTCTCTTTTGTCCTCTTTTCTTTTTACGCTCTTCTTTCCCACTTTACTATAACCCATTGCTCCCACTCGTTTTATGTACTCAAGATGAAAACACAGTATGCCTATCTTTCTTTTTCTAGCTCCAATCTCGAGGAGCAAACTTATTCTAAATAAAAACAACTTTTAAAAAAGAGATTGTCAGGGTGAGACCACAATGGACACCAGATGCTAGTGTTGAACCTATTATTTGATGTAATCAAGCCCTTGTGTTTGAGGACACATTAGATTATTTGTAAATCTAGTTAGGCCAATTTTGATTTGGAAAATACCTGCTAGATCTTGGGCATGATCTTTCCTGTTACCTACTACCTCGTCCTTTACATGGAAGATGCCAAATATTAGATATGGAACTTGGTGCATGGAAAATATGCGCTCAATCATTGTGCTATTGTCTCTCAGCGTGCATGTAATAAAGGTAATAATCCAGCAGTTGCTCTGGCTTCTTTTATTTCTTTCGTCACCTTGTTCACAGCATTTCAATTTCATTCACAGCCCTAGGTTCACACTTTACCCACTCGTGGCTTATGATACCATCTTTTCAAAAGCCAGTTGTAATGGACCTAATTCATTATTTCCCCCCTTTTTAGTAGTCTTGCTTATTCATTTTTGTAGTTGGGTTGGAGTTTGTGGAGAGACTACATAGAACCATCAGGAAGAAACAACATCCCTATCTCAGCCACTCATGTGAAGAATTTTGTATTTTGAAGTATTTCAGATTTTGGCAATTGGATAAGGGATGCTCAACCTATACAAACTAACTGCTACATTAGACAACATTTGTCAAAATCGATATAGACATCTAATCTGTAACTAGATAAAGAAACAATGTTAGAAAATAATGCAACAGAAAATAAAAGAAAGGTAGGCATACAGTGATTGGCTTATTTCTTAATATTGGTGTGTGTATGAATGTGTGTGTGCGTGTTTAGCTAAATCCCTTTTACGCCAATTTCCTATTTTTTCCATATTTTACCTCATAATTAGAACACTTTGAAAAGTTTTAAAAAGGATTCCAGTCTTTCAGAAAAGCATCCAATTGCTTTTCTCTTACGAATTCAAACTTTTTCACTATCCATTCTTGCGATGGTATTTTTGTATTCTTCCACATCTAAGCATACAACAATCTTGCTGTAGTGATCATATACTGAAACTTTTCATCTTCTGTGTCTTTTTCATCTCTCGTCAATATCAATAGAAATGGTTCTGATTTTAACAGAATATTTATTCTAAAAATATTCCAGATTAAACAGTGCAACAATTCCTTCATGTAAGCTACATTTTAGGCAAATACTTGTAGGTTCTTAATATTTTTGCCAAGCTTTCTGGTGTCAAGTGCCAATGATACATCATTTTATAAAAGGGGGCTTTTAAATCCTAATTTAATGTCAATTCAAATATATTTTCCCCTTGATCCATCATTATACTGTACTCAAAATTTTGAGTCATACAGTATTTTAACTTGTTTTCTTCCATATCTGTTTTCAGTAACATTCTATGCATCTTACCAATTAAGTGATCATAGTCTTCATAACTACAAATCATATTTATTTCTTTTACATTCAGATAATTTTTATCTAGTTTAAAACTAAATAAGTTATCTAAAGCTATTGAAACATAAAGTTTTCATTGGATTTAAATCTATATTGGTTTTTTCAAACACTACAGTATCTTGGTATGTCGGCCATCTTTGCTTGTTTACTTTTATCTATTTTCTAAAAGAAACTTCTTGTGTTGACATCCATAAAAGTATTTTAGGACATAGCCTAAGTTTGTATGTACTCCAAATCCTTAAGATGGCACATCTTATGTAATGGTTAATAAACTCTACATGTACCGTACTTTCACTTTATCATCCAAACCTCGTTATATATTTCTATATGCAACATTCTTTCATAAAGTTTTTTAACCAAACCAAAAAGCAGGCAGAAAAATACAGTCAAATTTGGGAAGCCCAGCCCTCTTCTTTGCTTAAAGTCTTGTAAGACTTTAAAATTCATTCAATGCTACTTCTATTGTCCTATAAAAATTGATACATCTCTATGCAGTTTTCCAAATAGGACATCATTAAGTACAGTTGGCATCATTGAGAACAACATTTTGACACAATGTTAGTTTTAATAGTTGCAATCCTTGCTAACAAGAGAAATGTAAGTTTGTGTCATCTCTGCACATCTTGTTTTCTTATTTTAGTGCAGATACCTTCATATACCGTAGAATTCCCATTCAGCAGTAGATATTTTACTTTCTTTTCTATTTTAAAGGTAGATCTGGTCATCGGCTTCACCTTTGCTGGATTTCTTATATTTTTAACTATCGACTTCATCTTTTGTTGGTTGATTTTGAATGCTGCCACTTCTCCATATTCTTTCAGTGTTTTTAATAGCATGTCAACACCGTACAAAGAATTTTCCAGCATGATCATTAAGTCATCTGCAAAGACCCTTAATTTAAACATCTATCCTTTAATAGAGCATGACCCCCTTATACATGGGACCAAATCTATGGTTTCCTTTATCCACGTACAACAAAATATGTCATCTCTAGGCATTTTCTGTTGTTTTCAGTGTATTTACATATCCATATGAAGTCCAGGAACAGATCCCTGTTGATATGGGATTTGCTTTAATTAAAGCAAATTAAAATTAAATCAATTAAAAATACCCCTCCTTTTCTCCTTGAAGAACATAGTGTGGGTTCTTTCCCATATCTCTGTTGCAGTCCTACTTAAGAACTTTGAAGTCAAAATAAACAGAAATGGAGAAAGTCCTTGATCCTTTTTTAAAATGTTACATGTCAGTTAATTCTCCTATTTCCTAAAATTATGCTTTTTGCACATCATAAACTATTTTTATCTATGTACTTCTCAAATTTCATCATTTGTAGAACTTCAAAAAGAAACCTATCAATTCAAATAATAAAAAGTTTTATTTGCCTTGAAAAATATGAAAACTTACTGTTTTTCAGTGTGATTTTCCAAATATTTCAAGATACCTATTACATATTTAACAATGCCCCATATTTGCCTTAGAATTCAATTTTGAACTATATGTAAAATCTTTAATCTCTCTGCTAAAATCAGACAATCATTATTCAGTAGAGAAATAGGTCTATAATTACTTGTCTTCATCAGGTCTTGACCCTTCCTTAGGTATTAAGTTTATCATCATACTTTGCCATACCTCAGAGATCTTCTCTTTCCTCAAAATGGAACTTGAAATGCATTGTAATGGCAAATAAAATTCTTCCATAAAACTTTTACAGTAAACAGCTGGGTGGCCATCTGGACCCAATGCTTCATCAATCTTACTTCTTTGAGTTGTTTCAATAGCAACAAACTTTGATGGGGAAGTGGGCAGCCTCAAAATAATACTTCTTATTGGTTTCTTTTCCTGTCTCTGCTTAGAAACATCCCGACTTCCCCAAGAAACCTTTGACCCCATACTTCCGTTTCTTCATGGAGAAGCGAGCAAAGTATGCAAAACTGCATCCAGAAATGAGTAACCTGGATCTTACCAAGATACTTTCCAAAAAGTATAAGGAGCTCCCTGACAAGAAAAAGGTGAGCAGCATACATTTACAGTAGTGGAAGGTGAGATACAAGCTGATGCCCTGTGAGAAATTAAAAATACCCCTCCTTTTCTCCTTGAAGAACATAGTGTGGGTTCTTTCCCATATCTCTGTTTTCAGTAGCAGTCTCCTGTAAGGGAATATCTACTACACCAACACAAATGCCCTACAGTCCAGACCATCTGAGTTTACAGCAATTGTTCTCAAGCTTTGATCTTCCAGGAATTTTGGACATCATCTCCCAAAATTCCCAGCCAGCTTTTCCAGCAGTCACAGGTTCTGGGAGTTAAAGTTCACAATATCTGGAGGACCAAAGAGTGAGAACCACTAGTTTAGGGAACACATCTTTCTGTTGCAGTTTGGCAATGGCTGGAAATGATGAGTTTTTTGAGTCTGAAATTTGCATGTATTGATTGTGATGGTGTGTTTGCATGGCCAATGTCTTTGGGGCTCTCTTTATCATCGTAACGTTGTATTATTAAGGAGCACATTGAGAAATTTAAGTGTGCTGACTGAAAAATGTTCATGAAAGCTGCTCTGAATAGACATTCATATATCTAGAAGCAGCAAAGTGTTTGTTCTCAGAGTTTAGTGATCATGAAAAATGACAAAAATTAGAGGAAGATCCAGGATAGGTCCTCTTAATATTCCAACTCAAGAGGCAGGAACAAAGGTGATTTATTATAAACCATGATATATTATTTTAACAATATGTGTTTATGAAAATATATTTTGGTTTTTGGATCTATGCTCATTGAGCCAAGAGAAGGCACAATTCTTTGTAAGGAGGAAACTATCCTGGAATCTTCTATTGCTTCTTTGATTAGGCATGGCTGATATTACTAGAGATATTTCTGATATTCTAAGGTTATGAACGATTTAGTGTTCTGGAAAACCAATGCAACTTTCCTCTTCTTTCTTACCCATAATCATAATTTCTTTTTATCTGTCTTCTAGATGAAGTATATCCAGGACTTCCAGCGAGAGAAACAAGACTTTGAGCGAAATTTGGCAAGATTTAGGTAAAAGTGGGCAGCTCTTAAGCTTATGTCTTATTGTTTTCCGTTGTAAACACAAACTGAATGTCAAGTGAACTTTGGTACAGAAAGATCTCTACTACAAAAGCAAATTTATCTAATCGCAGTTGACTTTTTCCTATTCATGGATGATCCTTCTCCAAAGACCAAAGCACAGACATTTATCAAAAGTGACCAGGCTTCCACTCCATTTGCCACATGTTCTCTTATAAGCATTCTCTCCCATTTCTCTCAGATAGTTCTTCCTCTTGACAGCAGTTACATGCAACCACCTCAGTACCTGTACAGACATTTCTCCCTTTTCTTAAGAAGGAGTTGTGTGTGATCTTCCACATATATGTTAGCTTCTTTTATTGGAGAGGTGGTGCTTCTTTAATTGGAGAGGTGGTGAAGAAAAATAAGGTTCAGACTTGGACTAAAGAGGAAAGAAGAACTGTTGCCTGCTCTACCCTTTCTTAACCTTGGAAGATTGGCATGGAATGTATTGATCTTTTAAGGTTTTAAGCAAAGGAGACAAGTCATAATAGATGGAATCCAGTCTGAGCAGTGTGCAAGCTGGGCGTTACTTTTAAGATCAAGAAAGAAATCATTAGAATAGTGAGTTTGGGTTGTAGGTTTTTTTCGGGCTATATGGCCATGTTCTAGAGGCATTCCTCTAGATGCCTCTAGAACATGGCCATATAGCCCGAAAAATCCTACAACAACCCAGTGATTCCGGCCATGAAAGCCTTCGACAATACAATAGTGAGTTTGTTTGTATCCTTCTTTGACTTAATGTCATTCCTATATTTCCCAAATTTTAACATTTTCACCTCCTTTCTTTCTCTTGTTTTGTGAAGGGAAGACCACCCTGACCTCATACAGAATGCCAAGAAAAATGACATCCCAGAGAAACCCAAGACTCCCCAGCAGCTCTGGTACACCCATGAGAAGAAGATATACCTGAAAATGCACCCTGATGTAAGTAGTTCTCTAGGGATGGTTGACAAGGGCTTGGGAGGCTTAGCTAAGGCAGGTACAGGAAAAAAAATACGGGAAAGTGGGGGAAGAAAGAGGAAAATATAGTAAAATAACTAGATGAGGAAAAGAGTGCTCTCCTGGTGCAGGATAATTAGAAAAGAACAAAATTGTGGAGGTAAATGACTTGAAAGAACTAGGCTATGAAATGTATCAACCATATTGGCAATGGTCATACAGAAATGATAGTAAATAGAATTTAGAAATTTTGGACTATAACTTCACAGATTAGCCATGCTAGCTGGGTGTACAGGGGACAACTGTAGTTTTTTCAAAAAAAACCCCAACTTTCTCAAGTTCTTGCTATTACTGTAATTTCTTCAATTGTAAGATGCTATCAGTTGTAAGATGCAGTACCACCACCACCAATAAAAATACGTAAGATACACCTGCAGTTCTAAGACGCACCTCATTTTTAGAGATGTTTATGTAAGAAAAGAGCATGTCTTAGAATTGAAGAAATGCAGTAGTTGCAGCAGTAGAATAGAGGCAGAGAAAAACTGCACCTGTCACTTGGGTTAGAAGACACAATAAAGTATGGCAGTCTCGATCTTGTATTGTTTACTATCTTAAAAGGCATATAGTTCGACTACATTAAATGTGGTATGAAGGTGATTTTTAGTGATCATATGTAATACTTGCATGCAACTCCTTGTGATTGTGAAAACTCTGCTTCTGTACATTAGATTGTCTAGATAGCTGAGTTTTTTTGCCAGTGAGTGAGGATAAAAAAAGGGTATGGTCATGAGATCCTACAGACTTGCCCATAAGGGCTTCAAACATGGTGTTTAAAACCAAGCAAATTCAGGATAATAGATTTTGTATAAGATAGCTAATTCTCACCTTCAGTGAACAAATAAGCCCAAGCACATTTTGTGCATGGACTTTTAAGATTTCATATGCCTTGAAGTATTTTGTTCCCCTTAAAAACTATAGAGAAACCTCTTTTGAAAAAAAAATGTTTTTCCAAAAGTTTAGTTAGGCCACTGCCATACCACTAGGGTGGGCAGTGTTCCCTTTTTGCCCCTCCCCCATTTTCTCCCCTTTTTTACCTAATTTTTTTTTATTTCCCCCTCCCCACCTGGGTTTTTCAGGCCACCACGAAGGAAGTGAAGGATTCGTTGGGCAAGCAATGGTCTCAGCTCTCGGACAAAAAAAGGCTGAAATGGATTCATAAGGCTCTGGAGCAGCGGAAGGAGTATGAGGTAGGGAACATTCAGCAGTTCCCATCCATCTTCTCCCCCCTGTGCTCAGCCGGCCTTGTCGCGGCTGTTGAAACCCAGCCGCGCTCCGAGAGCCGACTTGTGGGTGGCACTCCCTCTTACTGAGCTTGAAGGGAGTTGCAAAGCAACCCCTTCTCTGCTTTCTTATGATGAGTGTCAGGGTCACATAAAACCCTAGAGCATAGGGAGGGCTTCTCCCTGTCCTTGTGGTCTGCATCCATGGTATTAATGACTCTTTGTATTTGCTCTCTGCAGGAAATGATGCGAGATTATATTCAGAAGCATCCAGAGATGAACATTGAGGAAGGGGCGCCACCCCGTTCTACCCTGACTAAAGCCGAGAGGCAGTTGAAAGACAAGTTTGATGGGCGACCCACCAAGCCCCCTCCGTGAGTTGCTGGCGATGCATGAAAGAATCTTTGGGGTTTTTTCTCTTGGGCCATGGGGTATTTCTACACAGTGTAATTGGATGTAAAATATATAACTGAGATTTTATGGTAGTAGATACAAATCCAAGTGAAATTGTGATATTTTCCAATTCTCAGTACTTGGCTTGGAAAGATGGTTTTAGTGTTGGCCTTAGAAAATGATCCTGTTTCAGCTCATTGGGTGACCTTGGGCTAATCCCTACTAACTTGAATGTGCCTAACAAGGCAGTAATGAGAATAAAATTTGGAGGATCGTATTCTGATATTGATAGAATTTGGGGGGGGGGGGGCCATACACAAGACTTCACCAGGACTGTACAATGACTTTACACACATGGGTGCTTTACTGAAAAGATGACCATTGGTGTTTTAGATCATGACTTCATAAACTTTTCTACTCACTGCCCTTTTCAGCCCAAGAAATATCAATGGAATGGCGACGATCTCAGCACACACAAGGCACTGAAACACATCTTCTTGTCTAAAAACTAATTTATTTAACACAAAACAAAAACAATATTTACACTAGAAGCTAAGCAGAACAAGAAACATCTCGAGTGGCTACATGGTTCGGTTTTTCGTTATATAGAATCAGGCACCTCCTTATATTCCACAGTGACGCGATGACGTACGACGCAACACAGCTGTACAACACTTTCCGCACTGAGATTTACAACAACTCCTTCATGATACAGTTAACCCTCTCCACATAGGAATTAAAATCTCCGGAACATTGCATTACACAAAGCATCACATTTCTAAGCACACAAACACTAACTTTGAAAACTACAATACACAATTCAAAACACATATATTTTCAACAAGAAATGTTTATGTGATCCAAGGATATAGGTATATAAAATAGGTATAAAAATCAAACATTTATGGATAACAAATCGGGATTCATAGGGTTTGCTAAACAGGCAATCAGGCAATTCTTTTATGAAGTATAGCTGAAGCACGACTGGTGAACGTTAGATGACGTTCAGAAAACTTTTACTGTTGCCAATTTTTTGGGATCCCAAGAGTTTCCTGTAATAGAGGATCCCATTTAGAGCAAGGACTCACAGTTTAAGAAGTAGTGTTTTAAATAATTTCCTGGTAAAAGTTTGAAATTTGCTGTCCTATTATTAGCCCGTCTAGTTGACCGAGAGACCAGAAGGAAATTATCAAGTATCCACAATCCTTTTCCATCGATTTGATCTACTAAAATCAGCCCTCTGCGTTTGCTGAACTTAGGGGCACAGGAAAAAAAACCAATAAAGAAATTGCTATTTTTTTCTGCAGCACAACTCTGGGCAAGCACTGTTGGAAGCGGAGTGGGGAATCACATTGGAGGATCTAGAAATCCCTAGAGAGGTAGTTTAGAAATATTTAGGTCCTCTAGCATGATATAGTCACATTGGAGAAACTAGAGATTTATAGAGAACCTTTTAAATCAAATCTGCAAAAGTGAAAACTGCTAACGTGGACGGACGACTGTATAGATATGTTCACTTCCCGTGGTTGGGAGAACTAGATTGGGCATTCCCTTCCCTACCACAGTCCCATCAGCTGACTATGAATTTGTCACCAAAGCAACTGCCTTGTGTGGTGCAAGGAACCACACAAGAGGGCTGCACCTTGGAAGCAGAGAACAACGAATGCAGAAACCACAGATTTTGTAATAAACAACATGAGGTTCATTTCTTGGAAAGAAAAAATATCACAGATTTGAGAACCAAGCTTGCAGGGTGTTTGGAGTATAAAGTTTAATTTGGCATTTGTTTTCTATGCTTTTTTAAAAGCAACTATTCAGATGAAAGGCTTTCATTGGAGATGCCATTTTAGAAGATGCTTCCCTCTGTGAAAGAATGTATTCTGTAACATGGCGGTTGATGACACTTGGGTGTATTATGTTTGGAAAGAAAGAGCTTTTCCCTACAGAAGTATTGTATTTTTATATTGCTTATTAGTATCGATGTTGATGATGGGAGCTGGAACCAGGACTATGCAGCCCTCTCCTCTTGTGATCATCACTATGTCACATTATTTCGCTTTTTCTGATTCTTGAAAAGCACAAGATAGAAGCATTGTTAGAGTGGGAAATGTTAAGATTATCTATTTTTTCTCTGATTCAGACATGCTGCATCCATCCACTTATACAGAAAGACTTCTCATCCTTTCATGTGCTCAATCTTTTTCTTCTTCTCGGCACTCTTCTTTATATGACTGCAAGCATAATTCTTGCTGAGTTGATTTTATTTTGCTAAAATTTGTTACATTTTTCAACTTATCAGTTGCTATTACCATGTGTTGTAACACTGTAAGCCATCTTTCATCTTAGTATAAAATACTTTAACAAGATATCAAATACATCAATTTAATTATTTAACATTTTTATTGATAAATCAAACCATACATTTTGTCATTCTGGACACAAAGTGGCAGGAAAAATAAAACAAATGCATATACAATGATTCTACTAAGACTGAAACATCCACAAATTTGAAGACCATTGTGAAATTATTGCATGAATTACTATGGTCCAATGGTTAAAACCATCTTTCTTTCTTTCTTTCTAATTATTTCAAGGAGTCTTCTTTTATCATTAACAAACAATGATACTAAGATTTGTTGATATTTTAAAATACATTTTCTTGAAAAAAATACGTATGAATGAATATATTTTATATTAGGTTTTGCATTCATGTATACTTTCTGGAATGGCTTCCAATTTAATTATTGTTTTATTCTTTCTTTCTTTCTAATTATTTCAAGGAATCAGTCACCTTTTATCATTAACAAACAATGATATTAAGATTTGTTGATATTTTAAAAACACATTTTCTTGAAAAAAAATATGTATAAATGAATACATTTTATTTTAGGGTTTGCATTCATGTATGCTTTCTAGAATGGCTTCCAGTTTAATTAGTTTAATCCTTTGCTATTATTTTAATACATTGTAAATCATTTATTTGAATGCTAACAAGTTAGTACTGAACCCTACTGTTTCAAAGCACTGACTGTAAGATTTTTTTAAATCGGCCATCACCTATTTCTAATGTTTGCTGCTAAGAGGGATGGAAAAATTATCCCTGTACCCTAGCTAGGATTTTGTAATCCATTTACAGCCCTACCACCATTATAGTCCTCACCATTTCATGTTTGGCTCCCCAAGTCATATGTAAGATTCCTGTAAGTTGTACAAAGAAATAGTAGAGCAGAATAACCCTTAGTTATTTCTTTCCTTTTCCAAATTACAATGTAAAAAAAATCTCAATGGCAGAATATTGCAATTCCCATTGGAGCGAGAGGGACACAGATCTTGGAAGGAGAATTATAGAATTTTGCTGATCTAGCTTTGCAAAACATTTTTTGTCCCTCCCTGGAAGTATCTGGGGAATACAGTCTGATAGAGAGACAGAAAACCAGGCAGATAGGGGCTTTGTAGAAAGACAAAGAGGCTTTGCAAAAAGAATTTCTTTGTCAGAGGATTTGTTAACTCCCCTTTCAACCATAAAAACAAATGGGGAAATATTTTTAAATGGTATTATGCTGTTAAGGTTGGAATAGGTACTTGCCTAGTCAAATAAGAAAGTTTTTTTTAACACTAGAAGAGCCCTGTCCCTCCATTTAAAGAACATTGATGTGGCTTCTATTTAGTGAACAAAGCTCTCTTAATCTCTCAATAGGTTATAAATATTTGAACCTCCCCTTCTTCCTCCCTTTTTAGTATTATATGTATTATATGTCTCATCCCAGGGTACCATATATTAATGTCAATTTGAACAATTGAAAATGTGAATCAGTGTGGGATTAATTTGTAATTTATTTACCATACTCGTACCCCACCCTTCTCACCCCAAAGGGGAGTCAGATCAACTTTACAAAGGCAACAATTCAATGTCACATATACGTATACATATAGCTAAATAAGCAAATGCATTAAAATCCAAACCCATTAAAACATAAACATTAAAAGATCAATTAAAATCAAACAATCCCAGTCATATTCCAGCACTGATCCAAGTCGTCATAATGTTATTTTGTAATCTCTTTATTGCACTGCTCCAATTTACTGACCGAAAGCTTGGTCCCAAAGCCATGTTTTTAGTTTTTTCATGAAGGTCAGGAAGGAGGGGACTGATCTAATTTCACTGGAGAGGGAGTTCCATAGACAAGGGGCCGAGTCATTGTTCTCACATACTGTACACAGTTGTATATGTAAGTCTAGAAATGTTAGTGAAAAAAAATCAACCCTAAAAAACTCAGATCGACTCAACAATAGACTAGTATTTCATATCTGTTATCCAAAAAGGAACCAACCTCTCTAAGCTGGTAAACTGGCTGGGATTTCCGGGGGTTGTAGGCCAAAACACCTGGGGAACCCACAGGTTGAGAACCACTGCCTTAATCATCATCATCAGAAGAAGAAGTTGTCCCTTAAAACAACACTGGAGCTTTCCCTTCTCCATGGAATAGCCCTCATCTTATCCATGGGTTTTGTTAGAATCCATAATTTTGGCCCCAAACCCTGCCCTTGACTTATACATATTTACTCATACATGAGTATATATGATCTATCAGCTTGATAGAGTCTTTAGAGCTCGAAATCTAGGGAAACTCAAAAATGAGATGCAAGGGCCCCTTCCTTATTAAGGTGCAAGGTTCATTTATGCAGCAGAGGTGGGCACTAAAGCAGTATTCTGCCTCTAAATTTGGCAAACTGTAGAAAAACACACATTTCACTATAACTCGAGGCATATGGGAATTACTGTATATTCTGTCATATAAGACGACTGTGCGTATAAGATGACCCCCAACTTTTCCAGTTAAAATATAGAGTGTGGGATATACTCGCTGTATAAGACTACCCCTCTTCCAACGCTCACCAAATAAAAATTTTAAAAGCATCAGATTTGATTTCAATACGGTAATTTTCCTATTACTGTACCTCCTTCTCTACCTCTCACATCTCACACATGCGCACCTGCACTGCTGCACTTCAGTCTTCAGGAGCGAGATCTGAGAGGCAGAGGAGGAGGTATGATAATAGGATACAAGGGCGGGCCAGACAAGTAAAAGAGGAGTGTTTTTCTGGGTACAGAGCCACTCTATCTCTTTTTTCCATACCCCGGGCGCCTGCAGCTTGCTCCACCCTTCATTTACACCTTCCCGGTGACGCACCCCTTCACCTCACCATTGGGACCGCATTAAATCCACAAATCCTGATGAATGGATTTTCTTCTACCGTACTTGTACAGTATCACCCTTAATGCTTTCATACAGTCACTGCATATTTTTGAGCTCCCCCCAGCATATGCAGCAACCACAGATTCTTCAATGGGTATTGGAAGTTTCAGCACCCGCTCTATAAGACGACCCCCGCTGTAGAAGGCTACTAGTATATGACTACTCCCAGCATATAAGTCTGCTCCTGGTGTATAAGACAACTGACTTTTGAGAAGATTTTCTTGGGTTAAAAAATAGTCTTATATGCCAGAAAATATGGTATTGCATGATTTGAGTTAAAAACAAGGAACATATTTCCAGTGCATATAATTAAAAAGCAAAAGCATATGTCTGGGAGGTTGTCACCAACACACACAAAAATTTAGCAGCAACCTGGGCGAGGGCTATGATTATTAACTGGTTTGAGGTTGCTAGTGTGGCTCTCTGATTGCGGGAGCACTTAAAATGCTTGCATTTATAATCTGTACTCTGAACCCAAATATTTGTGATTGATGTTGATCTCCGTTATTGACTGTGCGAATGGGACCTGGGAGTGATAACTGCTTCAACTGCCAATGATGTCTGATTGTTGATTTTATTTATGTAAATCGTGTCAATCCTTGAATTCAGAGGATGGTGCCATATAAAGGAAATTATTATTTCAGGAATAGTTACTCGCTGTACTGTGCTGAGCTGATGGCAAACATGAAAGATGTCCCGAGCACAGAACGGATGGTGCTCTGCAGTCAGCAATGGAAGCTGCTTTCCCAAAAGGAGAAAGATGCCTACCACAAGAAGTGTGATCAGGTGAGCTTAGCCTTATATGGCAGGAAGGTGACTGTATACAATGAATTGTGGGGATGTTTTAACTCTTAAGGCCAGATTCAGCTGTAATTGCATGCTCTTGGCACAGATAAAAGAATAGATTTAATTCAGTACTAGAATGCCGTATGGGAATATGATTTCGGCTGCCTTTTGGGATTTTTTAGGATGCAAACACGGTGCTATCATCAATGTCTCTGAAGTATAAAATGGTGCAGATTAACTCTATAAAGCAGCAAAAGAAAACAAACAAGTTGGGGGGAAAATATGTCTTTTGAATTTGTCAGTCTAGCAGAGTTTAGAAACATTTCTTGGTTTCTGACTGTAGCTGGATCCCTCATATGCCCTGAATGTTCCTACCACGCCCTCCAAATTCTCTTCCCTCCTCATTTCCTTCTGCATTATTTTAATTATAATTTCTAATTGATATGAAAGCCCCCAGTAGTGTCGTGGGTTAAACTGAAAAGTTGGCACTTTGAATCCAGGGAGCGGGGTGAGCTCCTGCTGTTAGCCCCAGCTTCTGCCAACCTAACTTTTCAAAAACATACAAATGTGAGCAGGTACTGCTCCAGCGGGAAGGTAATGGCTCTCCATGCAGTCATGCTGGCCACATGACCTTGGAGGTGTCTATGGACAACACGGGCTCTTCAGCTTAGAAATGGAGATGAGCACCAACCCTTAGAGTCAGACACGACTGGACTTAATGTCAGGGGAAAACTTTTACCTAACCTAATTATTAAATGTTTTAACTTTTTAATACATTTCTGTATTTTAGATATTAGCCTAGACTGTAGTGATTGCAATGTATTATGTTTTTATGAGCATGTACCCCAATCTCTTTATGCTGGTCTATGACCATAATAAAGAATTTTCTTTCTTCCTTCTTCTTTCTACTTGGCTTCTGGCTGTGGCTGGGTCTACACTGCCATATAATCCAGTTTCTGAATCCAGATTATCTGCTTTGAATGGGATTATATAAACCCACACTTGCATATTGTCCAACTCAAAGCAGATAATCTGGATTTGGAAACTAGATTATATGGTAGTGTAGACGAGGCCTGATAGTTCCCAATATCCCCAAACCCAGTTGAGCTATAGTTAACACTTAGTTGGGTTTTCTAGAAGTCAAAAGACATAATTTTTCTGAACTTTGCAAAGAATCCCAGTTAAAATATCTGTGTTTTGTTTTCACAACTGTGTTAGAAAATAATGATGGTTACTTTCCAGTAATGTTGGCAAGGGGCAGCAGGTCTGCCACCCTTCCTCAAACTTTGATGTCTTTTTTTGATTTGGGATGGTCAAATTCTCATGCATTTTGAAGGCATATACGGAATGGGGAGTGAAACAACAGAAATTGTGAGTGTAAAATGTCCCTCCTCCATGGAGAAGGCTGCCTTGCTCTGGATTATTCTTTCTCTGGCCTTCACAGACAACAGTCCTGTTGCATTCCTACCAGGCTCCATGACAAAATAGGGTTTCCCCCCTATTGAACTCAAGTCTTCTTAAAAGAGGGGATTTTTCCTCTATCCTAGGTAGTGGAGATACGAGAAACTGTATAATTTCTCTCATTGCCTTCCTTAGTGAAATTCAAGCAGGCCAAAAAAAAAGCTTGGCCTATAAATGAACAAGAAATCCCATGTAGGTTGTGGGAGTGAGAAAATACACTAATACAATGGATAAGGAAAGAGGTAGCTAGACTTCAGATACTCAGAAGTAGGCTTCCTTTAAGGAATATGATAACGGCAAGGCTGATAATCCAGTCACTGGGCCTTGTGGCACTGTTTGAAAGCCGGCAGCCATTTTAGGCCACTCACAGCACGCTTAAGTAGAAACAACAGGAAGCCAAGTTCGATTTCCTCTCGTATTATACATGCTGTGCTGCTTCCTTGCCAGATTTGTAAATCGATTCAGAAATTGGTTTTTATAAACATCTAAGAGCTGAACCCCAGGGTTGGTATGATATATTATATACAGGAAGCTACACATACAAGCTATCTAATCCATAGTCTAAACCAGGGGTCCTCAAACTAAGGCCCAGGGACTGGATACGGCCCTCCAACGTCATTTACTCAGCCCTTGCTCAGGGTCAATCTAAGTCTGAAACTACTTGAAAGCACACAACAACAACAACAATCCTATCTCATCAACCAAAAGCAGGCCCACACTTCTCATTGAAATACTAATAAGTTTATATTTGATAAAATTGTTCTTCGTTTTAATTATTGTATTGTTTTAAAGTGTTTTTGTACTACAAATAAGATATTGCAGTGTGCATAGGAATTTATTCTTTTTTAAATATATATATATAATCTGGCCCTTCAACAATTTGAGGAACTGTGACCTGGCCCTCTGTTTAAAAAGTTTGAGGACCCCTGGTCTGCACCATGCATTGCCAAACTTGGGCCCTTCAGGTGTTTTGGACTTCAACTCCCACAATTCCTAACAGCCTCAGACCCTTTTCTTTCGCTTAAGTGACTGAGGGGGAAAAGGAAAGGGTCTGAGGCTGTTAGGAATTGTAGGAGGAAGTCCAAAACATCTGGAGGGCCCAAGTTTGCCCATGCCTGGTCTACACCGTACATATCAAAACTATAAAAATGTATCAAATCACTTAGGAAAGTACTAATATTAATACAAAAATTAAATCTGCAGATGTGGAGGGCCAACTGTACTTTTTGTTTTCAGTTTTGTGGGTTGTAACCTGTGGTGGCTCTTTAGAATAATCCAGCGCAAGTTGCCTCTGTCTGCTTTAGGCATTGAGTCACATGGAATGAAAGATAAATTCCTGTACAGCACCACAAAAGCATGATGGATCTGTAGTCCCCACAGCTTTCTTTTCAAGGCATTCCTCTCAACGGGAACCAGCACAAATCCAAATCTTTCATTTCCCCGTCAGCAAGTCAAGCTGGAAGAATGAAACTTTAGATAAATGTGAAAGTCTCCGGGATAACCAACAAGGTTACGTCTTTAACTCTGAGCTCCCAATAATTATTGCAGTGGTTGACATTTACAATATTGAATTGGAAAACATTATGGAACAGATCTGAATAAAAAAGCTTTGTCCACAATTTCCCAGAGTTCAGAGGCCACCACAGATTCTTTATGTTTTCACCCAGAATGATAAAGAAATGTTTCCATCCCACTAGGCAGTCATTGACATCTTCAAGTTTTCACAATCTGAAAATGCTAGCAGACTTCTTGGAAGAATGTGGACCATCATAATATACTGCTGATACAACCTGTCTTGGTATATTAAAATCTGCCATGTTGAGCTTGCACATTTTGATGAGCTCTGAGAGCCATTAGTTCCCTTAGCCACAAAGGAAGTAACGGTTTGTTCATTCATGGAACCTGGCAACTGGAAATACTGCCTGGTATCCAGTTTTCCCCTCTGTGGTGTCTTAAGTCAAAAGAGAGATTAGCAGTTTCTCTGAAGCAAACATTTCAGATCTTTCACACTGAGTTATTAAGAGCTGTTTATCAGTCTCAGGATAAAAACTGCCCATAAATCTCTTTTATCTGGCCTTTAAAACTGGTTTTTAAATTATTACTATAATTGTAATAATTTTATTCTGAAAACAGAAGTACAGTTGGCCCTCACACTTGCAGATTTAGTTCATGTATCACTTGGATCGGGAAACAGGAAAACATACTTGCTCCTCTTCCAATAGAGTAGTATTGCCGATCCAAGTGATACATGAGCTAAATCTGCTAGTGTGAGGGCCAATTGTACTTCTGTTTTCAGAATGAAATTATTACAATTATAGTAATAATTAAAAAATCAGTTTTGTTTAGGCTTCTCAAGCTGTGTTGGTTTGTCGTGATACTAAATAAAGTATCTATTAGAAAGTCTAGAAATTTGTCCCCACGAATCCTGCTGAGTCGAACAGTTTGGAGGCACTGAGAGGGGAAAAGAGGACATTAAAAATGCATGTGCTTCAGGAACTGACAGTCTTCTCTACTACATTGCCCCCACAGAGGAAGAAAGATTATGAAATTGAACTTTTGCGTTTCCTGGAGGTAAGTGTAACCTAGTGCTTTTTAGCAGACTGATGAACACACTTTACTGTCTCCCACTAAAATTGTGTCCGTTGTGATCCACTGACTTTAGATTCCTTTGCATAGCATGTGATCTATAAAACTAAACTATGCAAAGTCAAGACTATACATTGTTTAACAGTGATGGGATCCCAGCCCCAATTTCCTTCTCCTGTCTCATACTAGATATTGGCCCTTCAGCCAAGTGGACTCTGAACCGAACCTCTATATTAGAAATCAGTTAGTGAGAAAAGACATGTCTCGTGTATGTGTGTGTGTAGGAATAGGCTTGGTGCAGCCATCTGACGAACCATGGTTTGTGAACTTTTCAAGTTTATAGGCAAAAGGTAGTTTAATGCTGCTTGTCTGCTTACAAGAGCCAAAGATATAGATAAGCCTTCTCAGCTGATTTTCCTGATTTCGTAGCTGATCCACTTCTTTCGAATGTTTAGAAGGAAATTATTGATTTTAAGTATTCAGTATGTTGTTGAATAGTTTATACTTAAATATACTAGGATCTAACCCAGTGCTTCCCATAGTGAGAGGCTCTGGAACTATCTAGAAGTCATGTCTGCCAACAGATCTTAGCTAAAAAGTGTTGGCAGATGAGCATGTCATGCATTGTCAGGAAATCCTGCATGCATTGTTTGTTTACAATACGATACTATAAATAAGTGATAATATACTAAGTCTAATTTAGATTTTCTTTCTGAATTGTTTGACAAGTAGTCAATAGTGCATGTGAAATAAGTATTTAAATTTTTTAATTCATGCTGCTGACAAAAAGAGCTGAATATTAGTACATTTGTAGCAGCACACCAGGTTCATCCTTCTCATTCAGAATTATTTTTAATATTATTTGCAATTTTATTATTATGTTTTGCTGTTTTTAAGTTTTCTGTATGTAATGTGAACATTATTATGGTAGATTTTAATATAGGTCAATATATATATATATATATACATAAAACCATGCAAATTTGTCACTACATCTTTTTATTTGTTTGCTTAAAGAAGGGAGATTTCCAGAGGGGCACTCGCTTAATTCTTTTCTAAAAAAGGAGTGTGTGGTGAGGAGTAGGACAGATGAGTTTGGAAACCTGTGATCTAAACAAGTCAAAAAAGTCAAGACGTCTAGGAAGTTATGGTCTATTTTTGTTTTTTTTATTTCATCTTTTTTTTAATTCCCTCCAAAATGTAGAGCTTACCTGAAGAGGAACAGCAGAGGGTTCTGGGAGAGGAAAAGATGCTGGGAGTAAACAAGAAAGTTGCCACCAGTCCTGCCTCCAAGAAGCCCTCACCAGATGCCAGCAAGGTGAGTGAGATACAATCCTCCATGGGCAAGGGCAACAAGCAACATCCGTTGTGCGACTGTGTGAATTTTTGCCTTTAACCAGACTCTTGCTTCTAAACCAGCCTCAAGACTTCATACAGAGCGGCTGCTAGGTTTGCTTTGGAAATTTTAGTTAAAATGATTTAATCATCTACCTTCTAAAGCAAGTAATGGACTAATCACATAAAATAAAATTGTGTGTCCCCCCAATATAAGAATTTTAAAGGAAGTGTGACATGAATGACAGTTTAATAATAATAAGTTACCAGTCTCGTCATTATACATAAATACTCATCCTTTCCTTTTTTGATTTTTTTCATTATCTTTTCATTACAATTATGCATCAGAACCAAAATATTTAAAAAGAGAAGCGTGCTTTTAATTTGCAGCAGCACTAATTACAATTTTATCTTCATGAAAACAAAATACTTTTCCCGTTGACTTATCAACTAAAGTGTTAGTTGATTAACCTATCGGGTGAAATAAGAATAAATTTCCCCATTTTTCCCCCTCGTATCATCATCGTCATCATTCTTTTCCATATCGCTTAAAAGCAAAAAGATAGAAAGATACAAACTCAGAGTTGCACAACCACGAGTCCCTTTGTGCTCTTTAACAGGGAGGTTCTGAGAAACCCAAACGGCCCGTTTCTGCTATGTTTATCTTCTCGGAGGAGAAACGCAAGCAGCTGCAGGAAGAGCGACCTGAACTGTCGGAGAATGAACTGACCCGGCTGCTGGCACGGATGTGGAATGACCTTTCAGAGAAAAAAAAGGTTGTTTAATCAATAATACATATTCTCCTTACCATATTTTTGTGTGGGAGGTGTGTGGGAAGATACACTCCTGGATATCTCAAAGTCAGCTGGATATATTTTTTTTCTGTTGACTTAGATCAAACCAGGATCTTGACCCTCTCCCTCACCTTTTTTCCAAAAGAAAAAAAAATGAAAACCAAATTTTGCTAGAAACCTACATATAAGGTTCTGGAACATTTCAACACCGTTGGTTCTTTCTAGAAAGTGCCAAGCCATTCTGTCACAGCCTGGGCGCTCCTGTCATTCCATCTTGCGTTACCTTTTTTTGCTGTACCCACGGCTTGAGAAGAGATAGGGGACAGCCATCCTGCAGCAACGCCCTCAACCTGGTATGAAACTGGATCACACCAGAGCCTGCATTGTGTATTCTTATGTACTAGCCACCCCTCAGTACATCTGTGAATATTGTATGGAGCCAAAGGGGAGAAGTCTTGAGGCTTGGTTTTAGAAGCCTGATGATGGAGGTGTGGTGTAGCTTTTGGGAAACCATGATTCAGTTGATTGATATATGGTTAGACAAAGGAGTTCCATTTGAGCTGGAGAATGATAAGGTTTGGGTATATGTGTTAAAGGCTCTCAGTGGGCTAAACAAGAAAGCTATTAATCAGTATTTGCTATGGTGAAGATGCCATGGCATGATCTTAGCAGCCACTCATCAATCCAAGAAAATTATGCAAACATTCCCTTTTTCTAGAGCAGATCTGCACTATTTGACAATAGTAAGAGGTTAAAATTCTTTGGGATGCATGTCCAAAACTGGGCCTGCAGGAGCACTGATCTTGAGGAACCTGCCCATGGCATCTCTCCTGCATCCTTGAGCACAGGACTTCATCTGCACTCTTCATGCCCTCAAGGAGGTCATTTGTGTTATGCAGCCCGTGTTTTAACCCAACATCCCAGCGGCCAAAACCCAAATACAAACTACTCTCAGACCAATAGTAAAAGTGAACAGAAAAATCTTTACTCTCTTTACTTTGCAGAGATGAAACAAAACTGGCAATAATGTTGCATACAAAAATCAGCAGTGCAACATATTTACACAGTCTTTGTAAGAAACATAAAATAAAGCATCTTCATCTTTACAGCAAATGAGAGATCAAAATAAACCTGAAGTAAATAGCTATGTCCTCAGAGTAGCTTCTTCAAACTGCTCCCCAGAGCCAAGCCTTTGTCCATAGGTCTCCTCGGAGAAAAGGCTCTTCAGAAGCTCTCTTTCAGGATCTCTCCTTCAGCAGTTCTCCATCAGCATCTCCTGCTGGAACTCCATGCTGGTGAAACAGAACTCCAGCAGCAGCCCACCAGAAGTCCAGCATCCACCAGAATGTATTCAGACAACTCAAACAGTTATAGCCCCTTGGGTGTGGTACAAGAGTGCTGGTTAACCTACTTAGCCAGCTGAACAAGATAATTACACACAATAAGGCTTTTCTTTACACACGCTCATATGATCCTGTAAGGACTTAGCGTAACAATTTGCAAATCTTGCTCCCTGTCCTCTCTTACTTGTGTGTATTGCCGCTCAGTGTACTCGTTCTCGTAGAGTGCCTGCACTGATCCCATGTGTCACCCAAAGGAGCGCGACCTCCCAGGCTGAGGAGAGACAACTAACCAACTAGCTAGCCCCATCATCACCTGTCCACCCAAAAGCACATCGGAGCCTCTGAGAACGGTATCAGCAGAAGGAACAGAGCACAACTATGGAGGGCATCCAGAAAGGAGCCTCAGTTGCAGGCACAGAAGATGAGGAGGAGGAGGCAGGGAGCTCCAGGCATCAGGATCTGTCTCCTCCTTTTGGTCTCGTCCTGAGGAGAAAGGGCCAATGTCTAGGCCACAGCTTCCTCAGGTGCCATTGGCTGCGTTGTTGTCACCCAGGGTGCGCTCTGCCTGGCTGCTGTCACAGGCTGCCTGAAATCCTTGGTGTGGGGGCACATGTGACCCATGGACCGTATGTTGTGCAGGTCTGCTTTAGAGGGTAGGTACTACAGCTCTTCATCAGATCACGGACTAAAATTCCAACTTAAAAAGAGTCTTGGCATCTCCAGCTTCTAGCAGTTGGCAGGACTTAATGGCATGAGGCTAGACAAAAGCAAAAAGAGTAATGTCAGATGTAATCGTTTCCAATTTGACAATGTTCCTTTCAAACCTGGAAAACACAATTGATTTTATGTGCATCTACTCCAGGAGTGAATGACACAGTTTTGGGGGCAGCAAACAACAATTCAATTCCATACAACAGCTTACCAGAGTTTAAATGCCCTCTCATCACTGTTTCTGTATGGGTTGGCCCTTTGCTCGTTGTCACTATATTCCTAGCTTTTAGTTTTAATGAGAGAGAATTTAATTACAGAAATATGCTCATTGATGAATGTGTATAAAGGTTTTTGCTAAATTAAGATCAGTGTTCAAATCATTGATGTGGGAGTTTAAATGAATACATTATATAATACATTGCATCATGGTTTACGGGTCTTTATAAACAGGTATGTTAATAGAAAATAGATCTCAGATTGAATTGTCAGTTTCCCTCCATTTGACTACTACTTTAAATATTGGGCTTTTGAACAAATCATTGAAAAACGCCAAAGATTTGTATTGTTATATGGAGTTAGGAAGTGTTTCTAACAGTTTTAACAGTTTTTTGTTTTAATATTTGTTTTAATAATTGTAATATTTAATTTAATTTTAATGTTTATATTTTGAACCTCATCGACATACCCATGGCAAGTTAATGGCAATTCGAAAATGGTTCATAAAAGATTTATAGAAAAACTGCTTTATACAGCAAAATGTATCACTAATAATGCTGAGCAGTTTCTTTAAAAAATGTTTCAGTTGCATACATTTTAAGTGCATATATATATATAGATATATATTAAAGTAGTTCTGGCTTCAAATACACATTACAAGAATTTATTGTTTATTCATCCTGCAGCATTTCCCAAAATCTATGATAATTGCATCAAGGTAAACTAGGTACATCTTCAGAATATACCAGTTACGCCCTGTTTAGCTGTCAGAAGTTAAGGTAGAATATTGATTGCCACTCCTAGAAAGCAGACCGTGGATCTAGTTACAGGAAACAGTTCACTCCAGCATGCCTTCTATCTGTCATATAGGACTTTGAGGAATCTTGTGTTACTTGGAGAAGCTGACTAAATCTGTTAGATCTCACTGGGTTTTTCTGGAACAGAGATCTAAGGCTTAACTGCATTGGTTTCCCTTCACCCCTTGCTAATGTGCCCTTTTTGATGTTGATTTTTGCTGTCTTCTTACCTAGGCCAAGTACAAAGCTCGTGAGACTGCCATGAAAGCTCAGACAGAGAAGAAGCATGGTTCCGACAAAGAAGATCGAGGCAAGCTTCCAGAGACACCCAAGACAGCTGAAGAGATTTGGCAGCAAAGTATTATCGGCGATTATCTTGCTCGCTTCAAGGTAAAATGGGACAGTGGGGAAAATCAGGGATGGCTTAGGGCAGGATGTCAAACATGTTTCCATTGAGGGCCACATAAGCCTTGTGGTTACCATCAAAGGGACATTGAACTCATAGACAGAGAATATGTGGATACAGGGAATCAACTATAATTTTTTTTACATAGTGGTTGTATCACAAATGTCAGCACATCTAGTCTTGATGTCTAATGACGAGGAATACAGGATGACATGAAGGGTCGGATTCAGCCCACAGCCTTGAGTTTAAATGATAGTGTACATGAAAACAGGGTCTAGTCACAGTGAAACCAGCATGTGCTAGAGTGAGTGCCACAGTTCATGGAGTCTGTCAACTCCATGGTAACAATCATCTTCTTGTTTCAGAACGACCGGGGGAAAGCACTAAAAGCCATGGAGGCCACATGGAACAACATGGAGAAAAAAGAGAAGCTGATGTGGATCAAGAAAGCTGCTGAAGATCAGAAACGATATGATGTTAGTGTTGCCTTTTTTGTTTTTATGTGGAATATGTATTTATTCTAGGATGATTCCAACAGATCAGGCATGTGCTGTGCTGTTTCATCGTGAAGACAGACAAATACACCATAATACAAAGAGAATGTTTGCTTTCATTTAGATCAGCAGGTTTCTACCTATAGGGAGATTCAGTGGTGGAGTTTGTTTACAAAAGGTACCAAGTAAAAAATAGAAATGGAATATTATGTACAGATCAAAAAGTACCAAATCAGAACTTGAAAAAAATTGCATTTTATAGCAAAATAATTCATATCCTCAGCACATTTTTTTTATTCCTGAAAAATTTGTTCAGATGGACTTTGTGCCTTTTGGAAACAAACTCCACAATTAATCTTACATGGGCTATAAGATTACGAGTCCAGGCTATTTGACCGATCACATCTCCTCTTACAAACTAGCCCGGGCACTGCAGTCATCGGAGGAGGCCCTGCTCTCAGTCCCACCCCCATCTCAAGTACGGCTGGTGGGAACGAGAGAGAGGGCCTTCTCTGTGGTCGCCCCTCACCTCTGGAACTCCCTCTCTAAAGAAATAAAGCTAACCCCTTCCCTCCTGTCCTTCAAAAAACAACAACAACTGTAGACCTACTTTTGCTCAATAGCATATGGAGAGGAGGAGAATTGGGTGGTTGAGAGATCACCACCGGGCCTTTGACTGAGAACTATTTGTATTTGTGCTTTCCTGATCCACGCCAGCCCAGTGACCTCATTTGATTACATAACCAACCCACACCGCTTTCTGAATCCTCATGGGCTGTTGTAAATTAATGTGGATGTTTTGTTTAGAGTTTACGTTATTATATTTATTTATTTATTTATTTATTTATCGTGCCATCCGCAACCAGAACATTATATTACATTTCTAACAGAACAAAACAAACAAACAGATTAAAAAATTATATAATTATACTTGACTATGCATAGTTTAATTTACTGATGTTAGTTTTAATTTACTGATGTTAGGCTTTAATTTGCCGTTAGGTTTTAATGTTATTTTCATGTGTGGGGTTTGTCTGGGATTTTATGTCAGTGTTTGTTTTATGTAGGCATTGAGTGTTTGCCATTGTATGTTGGAATCTGTCTTGAGTCCCCTTGGGGAGATAGGGCGGAATACAAATGATGATGATGATGATGATGATGATGATGATGATGATGATGATGATTATTATTATTATTATTATTATTATTAAGATGTCATTTACAGAGACTGTAGTACTTGGCATAGAATTTGTATTACCTGCATACTAAAAACTGATTTATTTTTAAAGCATTGTTCATGTAGACCTCTGTTATACAACTTACGATAGCCATATGTGTATGTGCTCAAGATTCATGTAGTGTGACAGTTTTGATATTTGCTTGTAAATCATATTTTTAATTATTGAAGGAAACTAATGAATGTGGGTATTTTTTCATAAAAGACACTGGGTAACTGAGAAAGATGGGAAATGGACTTACTGTTTGTTTATAACTTTCTGTTTCTTTCCCATCGTGTTGAGTCAAGTTTCTCAATTCTTCATTTTTCTCTCTTATCTTCTTTTCCATCAGCGAGAATTGATTGAGATGAGGGCACCACCACCTTCAACAAATGCCTCCAAGAAGATGAAGTTCCAGGGTGAGCCCAAGAAACCCCCCATGTGAGTATTGATCAACACTTCTTTAATCCTTAGGAACCTAACGCCATTCTAGAATTAGCACATGCATGATCACAACAGCAGAAAAACTTCTAGAAAAGACTTGATTTTCCCCAAGCTTTCTGGATTTGCTTTTTTTCCAAACGGGAAGTAAACAGTTACCCATTTGCTTCACTGGATTTACTTTAATTGGGGCTTGCAATCAAATTTGGGCTGATACATTTTCAATATTCTGGTCTGTTATTTCTCACTTGTGTTTGCGGGAGGACAGATCTGGCTAAGAGGATGCATGAAGAAAAGCTTTGCCATATTGTAAGAACCTCTGAGAGTTTCAGTATTTCTCAGAACGTCATCATCAAGGACTCCTTGCACACAAATATGAAGGATTCCTGTCAATGGAAGCAGTTTATGAACATGTGTTGTTTTTGGCTAAGCCTATCACTGATTGCCACAGTTATCACAGCCACTGAACATCAAATTAGTTTCTCTATACAAAGTTCTACCCATTTGTAAATAGAAAGTTGACCTTAAAGGGTGTCTTATTACCTGAACATCACATTGATTGCTAATATCTACTAATAGAGAGGCCATAGAATAGAGAGTATTTGTGGGCTGCTAAAGCCACTTCGAGTCTTATGGAGAGAAAAAGTGGGATGTGCTGTCACACCCAAGCTGCTTCGAATGTCTCTTTAGCATTAACGTCTCCTAACTTTCTGTCAACTTGGGGATGCTGGATTGCATTCTTGTTTGAGCAAGGAACCCCACAGAATTAATGTCCATGCTATTGCTTTGAGGAAATGGTAATGATTTATTAACTGGTCTTGGGTCTATCTCTACCCAGGCACTAACTTGATTTCCCCACAACAAAGTCCACATTTGAAATTTGATGGGTAATTGATTGTTCCTGAATCTGCAAGTAGGGGATGATTTCTCAGAAGAATAGATGACATTTTCTGAGGAGAATAGATGACAGTTTTCCTTGCTCGCTGTCTCTGGTATAGGGCTTTGGGGGCACCCAATGCCCAAGGCATTAATTAGTTATTGGTTAACTAATTACTGTTTGATAAAATTGACTTGAAATGGCTTGTCCAAGCCTGGATCTCACTGGGACTAACTGTCTTGCTTCCAAAATTCTCTGGTAATCTCTGATCTAAAAAGGCTCCCTTTCCTCAGGCAACGGGGCAGACAAAATGACTGACACAAACCAGAAAGGGTTTTCTTAAACTCCACCCTCATAAAACTAACATTAAAATGGCTGCTCTTAAAGCTATGGGTGATGAGTCAGCCTAACGAAAGGAACTGGAACTTGCGCAATTACAACACGGGGTATAAATAATAATAATAACAACAACAACAACAACCAATAGTGGTTGGTGCTCTTGGAGGTATTCCAAGAAACCTCAGAAAGCCCTGGAAAAGCTTTAATTTGGAAAGAACATCAATCCACATGCTGCAGGAGAAAGCCAGCACTTCTCAAAACTGCACATATTCTTGAATACCTTGAATATCCCAGCCCCTTGGGAAGAGCCCGATATTCAGAGACGAATCCCAGACACTTGAACCTAATGTGCATGTGTGCTGTGATATTACGGACATGTAAATAAAATTATAATATATTATATAAAAATAATCATAATCTATTAATACCTCAAATATCCTAGTTTCTTGGGAAGAGTGCGATATTCAGAGATGAACCCCAAACACTTGGATCTAATGTGCATGTGTGCTGTGATGTTATATACATATTATTATTATTACTTGGGAAGTGTCCAACATGTGATCCAATACAACAGCCAGCAGAGTGATCTTGTTTGCTGTGGACTCATCTAGTTGTGTTTCTGATTATGATGATGATAAACACACTTGCACTTCAACACAATTAGCACTGAGAAAATTGCCATCTACCAGCTGCAAAAAGCTACCTTACTGGGATTTGCATGCATTATTCACAGATACATCACACAGTCCTACACACTTGGGAAGTGATCCAGTACAGCAGGCAGCAAAGTGATCTTGTTTGCTGTGGAGTCATCTTGTTGTGTTTCAAATCATCATAATAAATCTTTATATTCCGCTTTTCTCCCTCATGGGACCCAAAGCGGCTTACAACATTTGGGGTCGTGACCCACAGTTTAAGAAGCAGTGGTCTAGGATAAACTGTTGGGAAAAAACTGAACATTTTGAAAAAAACATTGGTGGGGGGCATGTCACATAGTCTTTTATATTCTTATTTTCTTCCACTTTTCTCATCTTCACTCACATTTTTTTCTCCCCATGTTTGCTTGTCCTCCTCACTAGGAATGGGTATCAGAAGTTTTCTCAGGAGCTGCTTTCAAACGGCGAACTGAACCACCTTCCTCTGAAGGAGAGGATGGTGGAGATTGGGAGCCGCTGGCAGCGCATCTCACAGGGTCAAAAGGAGCAGTACAAGAAGTTGGCTGAGGAACAGCAGAAACAGTACAAAGTGCAGCTGGAAATGTGGATGAAGGTGAGCTGCTCTTTCAGGCAAGGAAGGACTACTTCTAACAACTCCTTGTGACGCCCTTTGTGTGTTGTGATGAAGTTGGGTGAGGAACCTGTAGACTGCAACTCCCACTCTTTATACCTGGGGCTGTTGAACTAAGGGTTTTCCAAGTAGAGCTGTATTAATATTTAACTGCAGTTATATAACCAAAAGTCTCCCTTTCAATCCAAATTATGTCAGATATCTTAATTTCATTTAATTTTTCCTGACCTCCTTCAATCAAACTGAGTTTCCATTACTGTCCTGGTGTCTGCAAACTTTTTAGTATTTTGGAGCTTTTGTTCTCAGGCCCTTCCACACAGCTGTATAAAATCCCACATTATGTGTTTTGAACTGGGTTATATGGCAGTGTGGACTGGACTTGGATAACCCAGTTCAAAGCCGATATTGTGGATTATCCGCCTTGATATTCTGGGTTATATGGCTGCGTGTAAGGGCCCTCAGTCTATAAAAGGAGACTAACCAGCCATAGGGTAAAATGTAGGAAAGGGCAGCAATGCAGGAAAAGAGTTCAGGATTAAGTGATTAAGTGCCGACTGTGAATGATTTCTCAGTAATAATAAAAACTGACTGTCCTAGAAAGATAATAGCTAACAGTATCAACTAGTCTTTGGCCATTACAAATGCTGTGAATCAGGCTGCAAATTTTAATCCAATTTCCTTCCCCTCCCACCTTGTGCTTTATTTACAGAGCTTGTCACCACAAGAGAAAGCTGCATACAAAGAACACATCTCCAGTGTAAGTGTCTAGTGGGGATTTGGGGAGGGGGGTGAGAAGCAGAGCACTTATATAAAGGTGGCAGCAATATTTCTTTGAGCCTCAATCCAGCAAAAACTAATTTGGAAAGGGGTGTACCTGCGTGAAGAGGAAATTGGATTTGCGTACATGTTCTGACCTTCCAGTTGGAATCTTTGTTCACTGAGGCTTGGGTTGATGTAGATTTTCAGAGATGCTGGAAACTGAGTTGTAATATTAGCTCTTGATCAGAAAAAGTAGAGATTAACAAGACTTCGGGTTTTAATATTTCTGGTCTTACTCAAGACTTCTTAAAACATAAAATCATTCCATAGAAACTCATAAACACATCTGTGTTAGTTCATCAAAGGTTAGAACGTTAGTGTTTTTGTTTTGGGCAAAGTTTAGCTGTGCTGGGTCAACTCCAACCATCATTCCAAAAACCATAGCTCTGTTTCCTTCACCATGGTTTAGTGTGATGCTCTGGATTGATTCTAGTTCTCTTAGGTAGCCATACTGTATTCTATTTTGCTGATACAGAAACATGACAGAAGGTCTAGAGCAGACATGGGCAAACTTTGGCCCTCCAGGTGTTTTGCAACAGCCGGTATGGGAGTTGGAAGTCCAAAACACCTGGAGAGCCAAAGATTGCTTATGCGTAGTCTAGAGGAAAATTCTTGGAAGGGAAGGCCAGATAAATTTCATTTGCAGTAGCAACAAAGCCTTAAACTGTGATCCACACTTGTAATTTCTTCGTAACTTGAAAGTAGTCGAACTTCCTGAGGGCCTTTTCCAGGGCAAACAGTAGCCTTGTTTATTGAAGAGCTAAAATTTAAAAGAGAACATGGAGCCCCCAATCCTCCACAGAGACTAAATACCTGTATAAGGTTAGTGATGAAGTGGAAAGATTTAGGAAGGGGGATATTATGCAACTCTGAGACCCAATATGATTACTTTCCATGTAGCTTTTCCATTGTTTACTACTGCCACCCCTTGCTTATATTTCAACAGAAACGCAAGAATATGGGAAAGATGCGTGGCCCAAACCCTAAAATGAAACCTTCAATACAGTCCAAATCTGTAAGTGCCTCAGCTTTGCTTTCACTAAGTGTTGTAACTCTTGCAGCGGATGTCCATTGACTGGAACATGACAGATAGAAAACTTTGTTTGGTTTCACTATAAGTGGGTTGGTGCAGCCATTTTAAACATATAACTTAGGGGCAGATTGCTGAAGTCCTCCTAGTGTTGGACTGTGTTTGCCATAATCACTCACTGGTGGATAGAGATGTAATTAGCTACCTTTTTGTAATGGTCGGATTTAGTTAAGTCGTTGTTCACCAGAATTTATTAATTACTAGCTTAGGTACCAAGCGATGCCTGGGTTAGGTCTTTTGTAATGCTACTTATAAGAAATGGTTATTGTTTGGTTTGGGGTTTTATTGGTGGTCCCATTAGAAATACAAGTGGCTCTCTGGATGTAGGGAAGAAATGGCCCTTTGGATGTGGGTGGACTACAACTCACAACATCCTGGCTCAATTCTTTCGAAGCTCCATCAGTATTTAAATTTGATCATGGTGGATATGTGTGCCAAATTTGGTCTAGATCTATCACCTGTGGCCATGATGCAGCTCTCTGAATGTTGGAGCCATACTGGAAAATACATAAATTAAGTACTGTTAAGACAGATAGATACATACATATTTTTACTTTTATTATATACATGGATTTCCAGAAAGATAGAGGAAAAGGTGAACCATTTAATCTTCCAGTGGTTTTGGAATTGAAAAAGTGAATTCCAGCCACAGGCATTATAGTGGTACTTTTATCCACATCTCCATTAAATTCTCTTTGTGGCCTTCAGGAATCAGAGGATGAAGATGATGATGACGACGATGACGATGACGATGAAGAGGAAGATGAGGATGAGGATGACAATGGTGACTCTTCCGAGGAGGGAGGAGATTCCTCTGATTCAAGCAGTGAAGAGGAGAGTGAAGATGGAGATGAGGTGAAGTTGTGGCATATGATCTCCTTGAGTTCCCCCAAACAATCGCTCCATCTGAATGGACCAGTAGTCTCCATTAAGATGCATAGTCTTTTCAGCAAAACATCAGTATTTTTTTTAGTGACAGAGTTGCCACTGGCTCCTATAATAATTCCAATATCTATAGTTTCATGTTGGATTATTCTTGGATAATATTTCCAAGAATTTCCCCAACTATATGTAAAAAATAAGCTTTACCTCATTGTTTAATAATAATAATAAYAACGACGACAACAACAACATAAACCCGCAAAGGTTGTGGAAAATGAACACGCAAAAATACTGTGGGACTTCGGAATCCAGACTGACAAAGTTTTGGAACACAATACACCAGACATCACGATTGTGGAAAAGAAAAAAGTCTGGATTATTGATGTTGCCATACGAAGTAACAGTCGCATTGAGGAAAAACAACAGGAAAAACTCAGCCGTTATCARGACCTCAAAATCGAACTGCAAAGGCTCTGGCATAAACAAGTCCAGGTGGTCCCAGAGGTCATTGGTRCACTGGGTGCCATGCCAAAAGATCTCAACCGGCATTTGGAAACAATAAACATACATCACACAGTCCTAGATGCTTGGGAAGTGTTCGACTTGTGATTTTGTGATACGAAATCCAACATATAGATCTCATTTGCTGTGACATACTGTGCTTTTGTGTCAATAATAATAATAATAAACAACTTTATTTATACCCCGCCACCATCTCTCCAAAGGGGACTCGGGGCGGCTTACATGAGGCCAAGCCCAGAATTACATTACAGCAAAATACAATAAAATAAAACCAAAACAACACAACTGATATCACAATAAAATAGATAAAGCATAGGAAAACAATAAAACAGAGCTAAATAAAACAACAAGATAATGCAATGAGAAACCAATCACAATGAGCGGGCCACATGTACAACATAAAATGATAAAACTCTGGATAAGAAAAATAAATGTTTGTGAGGAAATAAACTCGTAGTCTATGGAGTAGTTAAGACAGGCTTTCACACCGGTGGAGGGAAGGACAGTAAGCGGACAACATTATGGGAGGAACGACGAAAAAGAGGTACATGTCTTAATGTCATCCATCTCGTGTACTGCACTGAATTTTATGTTCTTCCTGTTCTTTCCCAGAACGAAGAAGAAGATGATGAAGAAGATGAGGACGACGACGACGACGACAACGAATCAGAGGGAAGCAGCAGTTCTTCCTCCTCCTCGGGAGACTCTTCAGATTCGGACTCCAATTGAACCGTCCCCTTCCTACGGCCGCCTTTCTTGCTCTACTCTATTCGGTTTTATTTTTTCCGGATAACAACAGCTGGAGAGCTAGAATCGGGAGGAAAGGGGGGGAAAGGGGAGAGTAAAGAAATCACTGTGGTTTTATTATTTTCCTTTCCTCACAGGCCTCACACTTGTATTTAACAGCGTGGGGTTGTGTGCGATGGGGACAGATAGAAAATACCTAATAACCAGCAGAGAGATTTTTTCTTTTCTTTTTTGAAGTGGTCATGATGGGGGCGGAGGGAGAGATTTATTCTATGCCCCTCTGTTTTTCTCCCCCGTCATAAATCTCTCTGGGGTTTCCCCACTTTTTGTGAGGGGTGGGCAGGGGTCATGGCAAAATCCCAACCCCCTTTGATTTTCCTCCTGACATCGACATCTCTCCCCCCCGCCCCACCCCCCAATTCTAGCCACCAGCTTGGGACTTTGTACAAATCCTTTTCTAAAAAAAAAAAAACAACCAACAACATGGCAATGTCTCTCTTTTCCCCCTCCTTGCACCCCCAGCAAACAGCCCAGGAGAGATAGGTTTCCAGAGAGCATGAGCCATGGATGGTTCTGGACTTTGCCGGTGAGACCCACCTCTCCTTGAAGCGGACAATCTTGTATAGTCTTGATATTTCACACTTTGGCAAACAAAAAAAAGAGACAAAATGGCTGCAGCTGCACTTAGCTATTTCTTATGACGAACTGGATATCCAGCGTTTCCTGCTGAGGCAAATGGGGCCGGTGGGTGGGCATGTTTTATGTGAGTGTCTGGCAAAGGCGAGGGGAGAGAGAAGGAATGGAGAAACACGATTTGTTTTTGTTTTTGCAAAGGGAAATGTCTGGTATGCTGTTGGAGGAGACGATTTTAAGACTTCCAAGGTGACTGACTTTATTTTACAGGAAGTGGATTTTTTTTCCTGTCATTTTTCTGACCAGCATTTGGGAAAAAGACCGTAGTAGCCAGACCCCTTTGGGTTGTTGTTGTTGTTAATATATCTTTTTTTTTTATAATGAAGTGACCAATAATTGTACCAAAATGGGGCATTTTGTTGACTTGTCTTTGGAAAGGGGTGTTTGGTTGCGGGGGATCATCTGTGTCATTAGCATTTTTCTTAAAAAAAAAAACATTTTATAAACAAAGCAAGACAACCATCTTTTTTACAACAAATACCCTATCTTTGACACCCAAGCACTTCCTATGTTTCATTCTCATCCAGAGTCTAATAGTCAAGAGTTTTGGGCAGCGGGATTAAGGTGTATATAAAAGACACAAACATTTCTTTCCTCAGTATGCAATAGTTTTATTCAGACTGCAGAAGTGTGTGGTTAACAGACAAAATCCAACATGGAAGTGTATTTGCTACCCTCTTTCATTAAAAAAAAGCAAAATCATTGCTATATTTGCGCTGAAATTTAAGGATAAAGCATTATGACTGCCATCAAAACCAGAAATATCCTCTTTTTAGTCCAGTAGGAATAAAAGCCAAGTGGATTCTACCAATACAGAGATGACAAATGCAATAAACAGAGAAGGGAACTTCTTATGTACCGATGTTGCCCATTATGGTTGGTTCAGAGTAAACCTATTCAATCAATTATTGAATGACAAGGCAACACATTAGTACCTTTCATTGATTGAATGAGTTTTTTCTAGCAAGGATTAGCAAGAGAATTTAAGTATTTCTATACCCAGGCATTAACAGAAGAGAAGAGGACAGATATATCTTGTCATTTTTAGTTTGGGGTGAGAAAAACAAGCTTGAGGCAATGGCTTCATGTTTATGATCATGGCTTTAGCGTAACTTTTCCCACTTTGAAACTTACAGAAGAATAAAATTACTACTATCAGCGGGCACTAAATTGAAAAGGTACACAAATGAGCCACTTGATACTCTTGCCATGTTTTCCAGCCGGTAAAACTCCCACCTATGTTCTAGGGAGCTTGTGGGGCAACATGACCGCTTGGAGGGCCAAGGGGGGATCTTTTAGAGAGAAAGTCAATTCCAGTTTAGTCCATCCAATCCTTAGACAGCTCAGTCTCCCACCGTATCCAAAATAAAATTACACCTTTCTTGCATTTCCTTGAGATTTGAGGAATTCTGGGTTCACATATGATAATAAATCAGTTAAGTGAAAAGAAGCAATATTTCTGTCTCTGACCAGAGAAATGGTGGTATAAATTATACAACTCAGTATTTGTGAACATAAGGCTAAACTGTGTCAGAACAAAGGTAGGACAAATGAAATTGGTTTGAACTTAAACTGTTACATCCTATTGTTCTATTCACAACTATTTTTTATTTCTTCTCCCTGTCTACTCCTCTGCATTTCACTTTAATGTTTCCACGCAAAAGGATTAGGTAATTTGGCGTCTTTTAAGAATATATCTTTATTTCTGCATTCTTTGGAAGATGCGCTTGATAATATTAATATTTTCATACTTTTAAGGCCATGGCAAGCAATTGCAACTCAGATCTGGACTGCAAAGCCACATGCAATACCCATTTTATTCCTTTTCCCCCTCCCCCCCTTTTGAATTTGTGAGAGATATAAACTGAATACAAAGTATATACTTCACCTGTTTCCTTGGGGTTAATCTGGAAATTCTGATATGAGTGCCAGGAAAACAGATTTTTCTCTGCTTTACAAACATCTCTTGCAGACTCAGGGAAAACTATTCCATTTCTTTAAAAAAAATGTCTGTCCATTCCACCCTGTAAATTGCACCCCCTTGTTTTATTGGCCTTGTTGAATATTACATATGGAGGGTCTGGACATTGAAAAAGGTGAAGAGCAAAATAGTTCTGCTGTTATCAGAAGGGCCTGTAAACTCTCCCTCAGGCTCTGGAAGAAAGTGGGCTCCATACGTAGGGATTTTCAAGCAGAAAAGGGGTGTTAAGGGATGGATAAAACTTTTTTTGTCATGTCAGAAGCTTCTGGTGTGAAAGATTTGCCGTCTGCAAGGACGTTGCCCAGGGGACGCCAGATTTGATGTTTTATCCTTGTAGGAGGCTTCTCTCATGTCCCCGTATGAGGAGCTGGAGCTGATAGAGGGAGCTCATCTGCGCTCTCCCTGGATTCGAACCTGCGACCTGTCGGTCTTCAGTCCTGCCAGCACAGGGATTTAACCCACTGTGCCACCGGGGGCACCTATAGATAACACTTTTAGTGTTCTTTTGGTGTTCTTTTAGTGTTCTTCTTATAGATAACACTAAAAGAAGTGTACAGGTAGAGGGAAAACCTATCCTTGATGCATCTGATTAGGAATTGCTCCCCTTGTCATCTTCGTATGAATTTACTAGCTTTCCTTCAAAGTGTTTTGTGATTTCCACACAAACAGTATTAGGGCATAAGCCAGCACCTTGTACAATTATTATTTAAATAAAAGTTTTATTAGTGTCTCTCAAGGTTGTGAAGATCTCAGCCTGGAATTGAATTCTCCAAAGACAGAGGAACATGAACGCAGGCTGAGCAGGATTTCCTCTTCCACATTCATGCCTAGCTAAATTATGCTAAATTCTCTTTTTCTTAGGGTTTTTGTCCCTTTTAGTGGGAGTCACGCTCAGCCCAGTCTTGGCGTCCCCAAAAGGAGAAATGTAAACAGCCAAATTCTGAGATTTTACAAGGCGACTTCAGCAAAGCAAAATGCATATCTCTGACTTTTCAAAAATATCCTGTAGCCTCTTTCGTAAACTTGTAAGACCTCAGTGGGTGTTTCTGGAATTAAGGATCTTTTGAAGATCAGTCCCTCCTTGAGAAGAAAACTGGATACAAGAAAGGCATGTGCAGATACCAATGTATTTCAGTGAGCACGTGCATTCTTTACCCATTTTTATCCTGATAAAAGCAGGATGGCATTGCTAGATGGAACATTTTCTAAGGAAAACAATGCCCATAACTATCCTAGCAAGATGTGTTTTTCTAGCATCTGGTCTAGTTAACTGACTAGTCTTTCTTTAAAACCACACAGACTTTCAGAGTTCCTAAAAATTTGAGCTGTGTTCTTTCTCATTTATCTTGTTCTAAACTTTGCAGAGAGCAGGAACACAGAACTGAAGAAGTTCTAGGGGTTGGGTGAATGGATTTAAAGAAGGTCTTTGGAACCTCTGCAAAAAGAGAGGCATTGTGTACTTTGTACTTAAAAAATAAACTGTTTTTCAAGTGTTTTAAGAAAAAAAACTGTTTTGCAACCTGCATATGTTATGCAAATATGAATGGGCTTCTATAGTATATTTGCACTTTGGGTCAGGTGATGGAGGGGAGCAACAACGACCCATTGAGTAAGCACTAGAATCTTTCCTTGACCTGCCAAAGTACCATCTAGCTTTAAGGGATAGGTAGACTTTTAAAAAACCACAACCTTCATTTTGTCAGTTCTTTACCACTAGTCATTTTTGTCTCAGCTTCACGCTTAGGCCAAAATCCATTACTTCATCATGAGCACCTTTGCCATTCAGTTTTACTATAGAGGTGTAGTATATCTCTGGGTTGTAGCTATGTTGGGAGGGCAAAGTGAGGGCCTTGACCTCCAATATGAATTCACTACCATAACTTTGGTTTCAATCTCCACATTTATATCATTGCAAAGCATGACACACTGAAAATCAATTATACCTAGACCTCTTACGATTCCTGTATTCACATTTCCTTGGTAGTTTTTTCTACCTCTTTTTGGATGCCAAAATGCTTAACTGGCATTTTAAATACCAGTAATGCCAGAAATTTGGGGACAAATAAAATTTGGGGAGGGGGGACAGGAAAAAATCGGGTGTGTGTGTCGGATCGAGGCCCCCACTTTGCTCCCCATAGTGTCACCCTGTTGTTATTTAAAGTTGCCGGAACTCCAGACTGCCAGTTGCATTATGTGAAAATCTCACAAGAAATTGGACACACGGACACAGAGTGTCTTAAAGCACTGTGGCTTTTCCTAACTTCTTTTTCAGCTTTATTATTACTACATTTTTGTCACATTCAGTACTTTCATGGAAATGATCTCATAGAGGGAAGAAATATTTTGTTTCCTCGCTTAATGTTCTGGTAACATG